CTGCAGATTTTCATGTTATGGCTGTGCTGCAGTTGGCAGCTGTGTGCTTCAGTAGCTGTGACATTGAGTAATGAGAGAAAGCTCAGTTTTGGCCCCACACCTCTCCAGAGGTCAGATAAACAGGAATGAGAGTTTTTGACTGACTCCTCACTGAGTCAGGGAACAGCTGCAGAGTCCACATCTGATAGTCTCTGAAACAAAAGCCAGTTTCAAATTTGCTTCAGAATCGTGGTCCACTCAAATCTTTCTGTATTTTTTTTTTAAGTCAGTGAATCCCAGTGAATCCTTGTAGGTAGACTGGTGCAAATGCAGAAGCAATGGTTTCGTTTCAGGACTGGCTACTAAGACTTTACACATTTTCATTTTGTGAGACTGTGTGACATACCCACAATTACTCTGTTTAAGAGTTCCATTTTTGATTGCCTAAACATCCTTTGCTTTCTTGAAACAGAAGTAGGCAAAAGTGGGATTTTATTTGTATGCATGGTTGTAACAGGAGGAGAGTAGTTAGAGGCAGGCAGAATAAGTTTCTGTCTATTTAAGAAAATCCAAACCAAATTATTTTAATAGTGGAAACATTTTCTGGTTACTCATTATCAAATTGTAGTTATAAATAGGAGTTATAATGAATGCCAAAAGAAATCTGAGGCTCAAGAAGGAAGATAATTTTTGAAGCTATATGGAGCAAAGAAAAATTTGACAGTCATGACCACTGCAAAAACGTACCTCCTGTGCATTTATAATTATTATTATATTAATAATGCTTGAATAGAACTAGTCTCCTTTTCTGTTATAAAACTCTGTCTTAATCTGGCTTGTTGCCAGAAAGTGGCATTTTTTGGTTTTTTGTTGGTTTTTTTTTTTTTTTTTGCAATGGTTGGAATAAAACCTACTGAAGAGGTAAAAAGCTTCCTTCTTTCAGTTTGTTTTTTACTATTATAAAGTGTGGCTTCCATTTTTGAGTTCTGTTATCAGCCCAGCTCCTGAGCTGTGCCACAAACAGCCCTAAACCCTTCAATAAGTGTTTTCAGAATATAAATGTAGTTTAAAGACTGTCTTGGTTTAAGAGGCAAATGAATTGCTGGAAGTGGATTCAAAGCTGAAATCTGAATAGACACATCATTTCAGGTTACAGTTTATATGTTGCTGATAATTACAAAGCATAATCGAAAAGTGATTATTAGTCATTTGTTATTTACACAGCAGAGTTTTAATATGTTGTGTGAAGAAGGAATAAAAATAAGCTGGTCATGAAAAAATTGAGCTATGTAACAAGAACCTGAGTTGAGAGCAAAGGTATGAATGCCCATTAATTCAATATTGAAATTAGACACTAAAACTTTGAATGCTGGTGGTTTTTTTCAGCTGGAATAACTTTTAAGTGAATGATTTCTCTGCTGCAACTTATTCGTGTTCCAACTATGATCAGATAAGAAAAAAATTAATTAAGTGATGTATAAACAAATCTTTTTATGTGGAATGGATGCTCGTAGGTTTGGGAATAAGTTAAGGGCAAAGTTCATCCTCAGGATCTGAAAGTCAGGAATAGTTGAGTGGCTCACTTTGAAGTACCTGGAAAGGAACACTTTTGACAGCAAACCTGTTCATCCACGTCTGTAAACTGTGAGCCCAGAGCCCTCTGGTGTTGCTGTTGGTGTAACAAACATTAACCATCTACACCAGCACAGTTCGGGTGACCTGCTGGTATTCTGACCTGTCATGAAAGACCTGCCAAGACAATCACTTTCTCACAGCCAATCATTTATTGACTCTATTATTTATCTACGGTTTTAAAAGATGGTAATTTGTTTTTGACAAAGAGAAGCGGTATAATTTATCCTAGTTTTTAGGAGGGTTTACTTTGGACCAATTACCCAATCTGTGTCATCAACAACGCAGAGCAAAGATAGGTCCTGTGTAAAGGAAAATTTAGGAAGAATGCAAGTCTGCTCTACTACATCCATTGCAGTGTTCTGGTTTACATTTACTCCATGTCTTGTTTCAAGATCTTTTATTTTGTCTTTAATGCCCAAAGCATGTTGTTCCCTGTCCTCCTTTAGAACTGAGGGTTCCCATTTGCTCTTTCCCAGCACTGGGACTGCATCTGTGATAGAGATCCCTCCTTCTTCCAAGGCAGGGTCTCCAGTACTTCCTCAGCCACAGGTTTGGTGTGCCTCCATGATTTACCTTGGCTTATGGGCCTCTTGTTTCCTGTCTCCCCATGCCAGGACTGAAGCCTGTCAGTGCCCTTGCTTCTATTTCTGTTTTTTCTTTTCTTCTTATGCCACCAAACTCTGCTGTCCCTGCCATTATCACCTCTCAGTCTTCCCATGTGACATGTCTCTCCTTCTTTCCTTCCTCATTGTATTAGTTTTTTCTCTTTCAGCATATGAAGTGGCTGGTGGTACAGACTTATTACATACAGGGATCTCCAAGACAGAGGGTATCTTCTGGGATGCTGAAATACAGATTTTGTATGGGAATACAGGCTTTGTATGGGAAAACAACTAATGATCTTGAAGCAACATGCAGGAAATCTGCCATTTCAGAAGGTTAATGGTGAGCAAGGAGCTGCTGTGGACCAACAAAGCACATAATAATTGATTTTCTATTATAGACATTATTTCCCTTCTGCAGAATTTACAGGAGAATAATAATTTCCTAGCCTGCCTGGTAAGGCTAGAAAATCTGTTACACACCGAACTGGTCATGAATTCAGTGGCAGTGCTGCATTGGGAAGCCTGGTGAGTTAGCTGGGAAGGAAGGCACAGAGCAGTGTGCCACCTGGAGCCCGCACTGGGAAGCAAGAGAGCCCAAAGCATGGAAAAAACTAACAATATGTTAACAGGAAGCTGGGACGGAGGTCGGGACTTCTGCCAGCAGGAAGTATGGTGGTGTTAGCGATTCTCACGGAAAACTCAGTGCCTGCCTTTGAAGGGGGAAGTATAGGAGTGGGTATTGCTCTGTGAAAGAAAAACAGGTGTGAGAGCAGCCTGAGCTGCTGCAGGGCACCCGCAGGAAGCCTGTGTTGTTACCCTGTTAATCCCACTGTTGAGCCACCCAAACTGTAGGGCAGGAGAAAGGTTTAGTAAAAAAACTTCAGCTTTTTACTGTTCCCCTTACAAATCCTAGAGCAGTTACTCGTAAGAGGTTGCCTGGCACTGTACAATGTACAGTCAGAGCTGTGGTGGCTGGTTCCAAGTACCCTAAAGTACTAAAGCTGAGCAGAGTCAGGAAAATTCCACAAACGCCAGAAGTTTATGTCCAAAAAGGAGGCAGAGGAGTCCTGCAACTTTATCCGAAGGGGGGAAAGAGTCCACCAGGGCACACAGCTGTGGGGTTTTCCTTCTCAGGGTTTCAGAGGGAGCGGCCTCTTTTTGTCCTAAACTCCAGGCACATGCTGCCCTCCTCCTTCCCCCACTGGCTGAGGCAGTAGGAAGGCACAGCCTTCCCGAACTGCCCACCACATACCCGCCCTTGACCCTTCTGTTTTACCCCAAAGCGCAGAGAGGCAGGCTGTGCATTCCCCTGTCTGTGCCAGGAGCCTCGCTGCCCAAAGTCAGCAGAGACATTGGGAGCCATTGCAAAGACATTGACACCCAGCCCTTCACCCATCAAATTGTCTGTACTTGACATGAGCTTCCCTCTCAGTAGTAACTGCATAGATTTACAACAGTGCAATTTCAGAGATTTATTTATTTGCACTGGGCATTTGCATTTATAGATATGTTGCAGTGGGCTCTAAAACAAGAGCTGACTTTTGACTGGTTTGAAATACTTTAGATAGTTCATGCCAGTCAGGTAAGGAACTTTCAGGGCCACAAAACATGTGCAGACTCAGAGTGGTGCTTGCTTTCTGAGAGTTCACTAATTCATGACATCTGAAGTGATGTGCTCGGAACACTTCCAAGTGTTTGTTTTTGAGGTTTTTTTTTTTCATTCAAAGGAGTAGCAAAGCTCTGTGGGGGTTAGGTACCACAGCTTACATTGGCTTTTGACCCAGAACTTTATTTTATGGAGCCAGCAACTCTCACGCAAGGGATTCATTGAAAAGTCAAAGCAGAGGTGCTGTAAAATGCTCAAAATTTATTAATCATAATTGCTTTCTTGGTGTCTTAAGGAACAAAAATAAAATAATATTCAAAACCAAAAGAAACTATACCATACCCAGACAACATGACTGAGAGTAAGAAATAGGATAACATTTAATTCTGAAAGAAATGACCCAATAAATCAGTATTCAAAAAAAAAATAATAAATAGCAGTGGTTCAACCTTTTAAAGTTTCCTAGGAAAGAATTTACAATTATTATTATTATTATACTTTTAAAAAAAATCCTTCATATGCCTCTGCTGGCAAATATATATATTTCTTCTGTAAACAGTTAACCACATAAAACAAAATAAAAAAATCTATATTTTCATACAGCTACTATGCTGATGGTGTTATGTAAACAAAAAGTAGTGTGCAGCAGCTACTCACAATAGGACTTTTTCCTTTTCCTCACAAAAACATGTAGGGAAATATGTCCATCATAAATTCTTCAAAATATTGAAGTTTATAATTTTGAAAAGATATGGCTTTCTGTCCTCTAAGTTTTCCTCAACGAAAAAAAAAAGAAACATATAGAAGCAGAGGGGTACAGTTTTCCTTGGATTTGGTTTGTTTTCTGGATTTGTCTTTTGATTTTTCTCTGTGAACTGGAATGAAAATGTTATTAAAAGTCCAGCATTTCTCAGAAGATAAATGTACAGAAAATGTCAAGATGAACTTGTGCTGTACCTCTCAAGGTGTAAAAAAAATAAATAAAAACCAATGGGAGATAATGAAATTATATCGATAATGAAAACTGAAATTCTGTAGACAGACCTACTTGGGTTTTATGAAGAAAACATCATCTGTTCATCCAAAATTTTAGCTGCTCTTGACACTTTTGTATTTTTTGAAGTTTCTTTATTTAGTCTTATGCTCAGCCCTTGTTTGAGGACTTCTCTCTAGTTCTAATTTTTGATATTTGTTTGCTCCTGAGAGGTCTTTATCTGCTGTGTCTCCTGTTGGGTGTTGTCTTGGGTAATGCACTCAGCACCCACACAGCTGCATTTCTCCACGTAGGTGTAGGAGTGCTCGAGGGAGGTTCCGTCACTGCACGTCAGAGTCACCTTTCTTTTGCTGGTCTTGATTTCCTGACAACACGAGCATTTGTGCACCATCGTGTTTGTCATTTGAGAATATCTGATTGGAAAATCAATGAAAGAGAAAGACTCAGAGTTTATGTGAGAAATAACATTGCCCCTCCCACCCTTCACAAAACAACCAGAAGTTGTGTGCTTGCATGTGGGACTATTGCTCAATATTACCATTCTTACAGTACTGAGGTGAAATACAAGTAAATTGCACCTCATTGTAAAAACTGATGACTCTAAGTCTTCATTAAGGCACAGAAAAAGGAAAGAATTATTACAGATCCCATAATGAGACAGTGCAGCAAGGGAATAATGAGAAACAAATAACCTCAGTTTTAAATGGGCAAAATAGGAATTCAGGTCTATTCACTGTGACACTGAACAGGCTGATAAACACTGATTCTCGAGGTAATCAAGCTAGTACAATGTAACATTACGTAGCACAATGGAAACAGTTGATGACTGGGTGGATGTTGGACACATCAAAAAAACACTTGTGATTTGCATGATGTAACTGGTGTAAAGAGCAGAAGACAAGAGGCCACAATTATCTTTTATGCCACTTACCGTGAGTAAGCATCACAGCTGCCTTCACAGTATGTTATCTCAACAGGTGCAGGAGATACACAGCCATTATAGTTGATGACAGTAGTCATATTGTGCTTCATACAAACTGAGGTCATCACAAAGCAAAGGAAAATAGGTTAAAATACATGTGCGTGTAAATAGATAGCTGTCTACCATATAATAGTTTGTAACTGAACACTAAGGTGGATGGAGCTGAAATAGGAAACTCAGTCACGGTGCATTTTTCTTTTAATTGCTGAGGGCCAAATGAAGACTTGCTGTTTGTTTTATCAGTGGATGAAACTTTTGCTTTTTCTTATGCATCTAGGTGCAGGATGCAGAAATTTAGAGCAGTACTGTGGCAACTGCTCGATGCACACCTGTCTCTCAGAACTGGCTTCACTTTCCGCCTTAAAGAGGATCTATCTGTGGAAATTGGAGAACAGTCACAGTCCTCATCCTCCCACAAAAATTCCACTATTTAACAGTAGGGGATGGGAAAATTCTCCATCGCTTTCACAAGGACCTAAAATGCATAGTGGAAATGTCCTGTTCCTTTCTTTTCCACATGTTTCCTTTCTTGCTCCAGTGAAGCAGTGAACCAGAACCTGGTCAGCTCACTTCTGTCTATGCACCCATTGTGCAAAACAGGCTAATATACCTATTAAGGTACATATAATCAATACTTTATAACAAAATTATTATTACTTACGTTTCGGTATTCTTCGGCACACTAAACAGCAACCATCGTCAGATAACCTGACATCATCCTTAAGTGGGAAAACAAAAAAGATAACTCTGGTTTCATTTCTGCATACTAAAGCAGACTTTTTCTGCTTCCTAATTTTCTCTGGCACCAGAGACTGTGTATTTTTTTGTGTATTGACATGGAATCTAACTTCAAGCAAGGCTAAATATTAAGGGCACTTCACTACTTTAATGTTAATAAGTGTTATTTGAAAATTGAAATGGAGGAAAACCCTCAGTTCAGTAGTATAATTTCAGCAAGCAATAAAGCTCGTAGCACATGTAAGACAAAATACTGTGACCAAAGGCAGTAGAGGTGAAGGATTATAACAGACTGGATAACAATGAATAACTGAATTGCCAGAGGCTAATTTTTGCTTCTAGGTCACTTGATACTTTTAGGAATCCAAAATATTAAGCTGTATCCTTTTCTCTAATGTCCAATCCACAGTGAGGATTGATATATCACTCATTTTAATTTTTTTGCTTTTCTGAGATAAAATTTGACTGGGACCAGGTTCAGAGAGGATGAAAGGAGAGCTACTTCCTGCATGATGCTTCTGCTAGTTATTTTCATTGGACACCATGATCCTCCTATCACTGCTGTTAGGCACTGCAATCTTTCCAAAAATGAGAGCTGGTAGAACAGCACTTACTGGATCACACTCATCAGGGTTAAAGGCAGGACAGCTTGCCTCTTTGATGACTTGAATGAAGTGATCAGCATGCTTTTCACACGTGTAAACAGTACAGTTATCACCAGGTGGATTCCAATGTTCTCCTTCCTGAAAGTAGTCAAAATTAAAGCAAATTAAAGTCTTCTTATATAAAAATGAAACAAAAGCACTGCAATGTCTTATTTTTATTGTGTATAGTAGTTTGATTATGCCCAACAACTTCCTTGAATTTCAGCTGATAATTATTTGCCATATCATACTGTTATTGAGTGTTTTTCATTAACCAAGTGAAGAGGCTCTATTTTTATCTGGGTATAGATGTGCTTTTTGTGTGAATGGGGTAAGTACATGGTCTCATTTGGAAAGAATAATTTGCATTTCAATAGCTTTGTCATTAGAATTTATGCATGTGTCAAAATGCCTCCACTGATAAAATTATCCTTTTGAGCAAAATGAGTGCTACATTTTCAGAGCTGGAGGCAAACAAAAGCCCATTGCTTTCACCTATGTATTTTCCTATGTTAATTTCTGCAAGCCATTGTTTAGTGTCATACCACAGTTGCTTCCAGAAATCTTAGAAGTGGTATTTTGTGGTGTAAGGTACTGCTTAGGCTGTGTGGAAGCTGTCCAGTCCCTCCCTGAGTAAGCATTTATCTAATATGGGAAAAGAAGGAGGAAATAAATGTGACAAATACGAGGAGAGGGAAGAGTGGAAAGACTAGCAGAGTTCCCCAAAAGTGAACTGAACCAGAGGTAGTTACATGGAGCACGTGTGTAATGTTGTCTCCCAGCGTCACTACACAAGCTGCTGCCTTGCATGTGCCACAGCACTGTCCAGGTTCCACTGTGTATTTATAGCCCTGTTTTGAAAGAAACAGAGAGACAACATTAAGAACTGGTGGTGGCTCGAGCTGAGCGGGCTAGGAATTTCTGACAGCAGAGGAGCACTCACCAGCGGGCAGAATGTGTCACAGATAATGGGCTGGCATGTGACCCAAGGGTGGTGAGGGATTGAGGGAGAGGATTCAGAGCAGGTACATTCTTCACAGGGGCCTGATGGAATGGCAGCTCCAGGCTAGGGGAAGTTGGAATAACCCATTATTAGTCAGATAAATAAGCTGCTCTGTGTATACATGTCACAGAAAATACAAAGATGAGCTATGTATAGGCTAAGTTATCCTTAAATACCATTCTGGTTGTTCTATTTAAGCAGAGTTTCTGGTTGGTAATATTGATTTTGGAATCAAATTCTGCTAATATAGGAAGGAGAGCAGAAAATGCTTTTGCTTGTACAGGAGGGTGTTAACCTCAGTGAAATAATGAATAATGTTTTATCTCAGGCCTTCCTACAAAATATGGACAGTGATAGATGTCTCAAAAACAGTGCACTGTGAAATATGTGAAGGTGTATTTTTATAGTGAATAACTGTGTACTTACTGCATAATAGGTTTCGTTGACTACACAGCCCTGTCCTGTAAAGAAAGAGGAAGGCGGTGTAAGTTTTAAGAGGCAGAAACACATGAGAAAACTTCTGTTTTGTAACCTACACCCAGCTTTGTAGGCCTGTGTGGCCTTAAAATGCTCATTCACGACAAGGCCCAACATGATAATACAGATAATTTGCGTTTCTCTTACAAGGTTTTTGTAACTTAGAAAAATACAGCAGTAAACAGCACATTAAGAGGGTGCATAATACTTACTGCATTCAAAGATAGGACAGCAGTTTCCAGGTGGCATTATTGTGATTATTTCCTGTCCCTCTAAGCACTGGGGTGTGATATCAGGGCAGAGGCTTGTGTTGCAGTCTGTTTCATAAAAAATTAATAGAAAATAATAAGCTCAGAATTTTTTAATTAAAACAATTTTGTTTTACATGAACTTCTGAAGTTTTCCCATGGTGTTTAGATATGGTGTTTACAAAAGATAGTTTAATTACTAATTCAGTCTATGTGCCAAGGTGTTTCCAGTGTGATTGGGCTTTCCCATAACCTTTGTAAAACAAAACACTGAGAAGAACAGAGTGATAATTGCTGGAAAGAGATAATGTCAAACAGAAATTTGTGCCAGTGGGGAAATCTGATGACTTGTCTGATAACTGGCTCTGGAACTTTCTTGAGAAATTTTTAAATAGTCATGACTATTTTTTAAAGTTAATTTTCCTAATACTGGCCTTTGAAATAGAAAATGTTTTTAATGGTTTTTGAATATTGTTTCAGATAGTGGCAGTATTAAAGGCTTTCAATGTTAAATTATAGAAGATTTTCAGTTACTTTTCTATGTCTAACTATATAAATTATTTTAATCTTTAAATTTCTTATCTTAGGGCATTTACTGTATGCTCTGCAAGAATGCTCTAAAATGTGGGATGAGGGAGAAAAGCATTATTTTAAAATATATAAAATTATATTAAAATATATAAAAGCATCATATTATATTACATCAACGCAAAATATTAAAAAATGATAAATTATTGCTGTAGTTTCCTAAAATTAATACAGCGCAGTCCCCATGATAAAGAACTAAGACAGTACTTACAGCACTCAGTCCTAGTACAGCATGGATCTTCTGGTATCTGTATCTGAACAGGCATGTAACCTGGTTCTTCACAAAATACTTGCTGTGTCAGAGAACATTCGTGTTTTGTACACTTCACCTGAAGAGTATTTTTGTCACAGACACATTCCTGGCAATCTTTTGTCCATTTTTCTCCTGGCTAAATCAAAAAGAAAAACACAGACAAAGGACAGGAAAAAAAATGAAATATAAAAATAAACCAAAACTATTTTATTTGCTTCTAGTTGACATATTCATGCATATAGTGATAACTGATTTTATTAGTTTCTTCATATTTTGTAGGACACCCTCAAAATACTTATTAGGGGAAGATACTGGAGGCCATTAAAGATTCGGAGTTCACAAAGCTATTACTTTCTATTTGTTAATAGTGTTACTATGAGGGTTACAGGAGTTTTATGGGAGAAGTGATTGAGCCTCACATCCATTTTTGAGAAAGAAATGATCATATGACATACTCATTTTCACATTAGGTTGCTGATTTCTCTGCAGCTGAGGAGCTAAGAATGCAGGCTATGAACACAATAAGCAACAGGTAAACTTCGTTATCCATCTCTCCCTTCATTTCTAGTCATTTTAGTAAGCCAAATTAGTGGAAATGAAATAAGCATAAATGCCTAACTTGCACTACTACCATCTCTCTCTTTCTTTTTTTGTTTAAGCTTTTTTTTTCTGTGTGAGAGGTTATTGAAAGAATATTTTATCACTTACTGTTGAATTTCTTAGGGGTGCTATAGCACTCCTTATTTTTAAGACTAAAAGTGAACAAACATTTGTGACAAAGCTTTGGTTTAGTGGAACACTAAATATCATCTTGTTTCACTTGTCTGTGTTCATTAAGCCACACTCATTGTGATACTCACCCATCTGGACATTCCATTTGGTTCTCTGCAGACTGGAAAGAAAAAGAAAAAACAGACAAACAAATGAATGGGTATTTACACCACTGAAAACTGAGAAAGGAGTACATATGTGCAGCTTCAAATAAAAATACTGTGAAGATAAAGCTAATAGGAAAATGAATATGCAGACTAATTTTGCTGAACAGTAGAGTTCTACTATCTTGGTGGGTCTCACATAAGGAAGGATGATGGGGAAAAAAAGGTAATATTGACTATTACTCAATTTGTAACTGGGGACACTTAGGGAGGCTGATTTGCAATGACCTGACCAGGTAGAAAATGACTATAGAACTCAGGCCTCCTGACTAACACTCCTGATCTCTATTTATTCTCCAAACTAGCTATAGATGACTTACCACATTCAGAGACACAGATGTTGCTCTCTGCACGCAAGAGTGTCATTCCTTCAGGGCAGAAACAGCCTTCAGTTACTCCATAGCCAGGACGCTCATAGCTGGAATGGGAAGAATATACGTGCTTGAGTACAGCACTTTTGTGGTGAGGCAGGTGACAGAGCAGCATGTCGTGTCAGACACAAGAGAGACAAAAAATTTACACTTCCTGAAGGGCAACAGGAAGCATATGTTCCTAGAGCTGACTGGTATTTATAAATCTTGAATAAATTTGTGGAATTCACAATACATTTCATTATGAAATAACTCAAATTTCTGAGGAAAGTAGATAAGAAAAACATAAGCAGGTGTTTCAGGGTGGGTTTTTTTTTGTTTTCCATACCTTTGGTCACAGGTAACTGGATTAATGGGCCCGCATGGCTTGTATACCAAGCTTGATGGACAGCTGAATGCTGTATGGAAAAAGACAATTAAAAATTGACAATAGGTGCTTTTTTTTCCCAGAAAAATTACTACAGCTTTGCCTTCTTCATCTGCAGCTTCTGTGAGAAAGGACCCCACTGGATTTTTGTAGACAGTAACCAAGTATCAGATATATTCATGTTTAGTGAATAAAACACTAATTTATTAGTGTTTAACACCATTTATCACACACATTTTGATTACTGCAATACTTACAACATGTATTGTTGGTCATTCCTCTCCAGTCAATGCAGACACCTCTAGCAGCACACTCTGTGGCATATATTTCCAAACTGGAACACTGCATGGATTCATCGTCTATGCGACATCCATCAAAAACACAACCTTTGAAAAATGGTTCTGGTGGTATCACTGTATGACATTCTGCAAAAACCCTGCAGGCAGTAAAGAAAGTAACCCCCTTCTATGTTAATGAGTCATTATACAAAGTCTGTTCCTGTCAGAAAACACTTTCCAGTTAATAGCATGTGACTCTGCTTCATAAAGGAAGGTATGAGAAACAAAACCTTAGGAATGGCCAGTAAACTAAGAAATCGGAAGTGTATTTTTTTTCTAAAGATGATAATGGTCATAGTATTTCTGTATATGTACACAACTTTTTATCAGTTTGACACCAGAAATTTAGTGTAAAAGACAACTGCACCAGATTGAGAAAAAAAGAAATTAGAAAAAAAATAGCTGTAGAAAATTCACACATAAAAATAGCTCCAAACTTACTGGATATTACAGAAAGCATGTATAAGAGGGCCTTTATAAGAAACTCATCTAAAAAAAGCTTTTGCCAACCTACAAAGGTAAAGGAAATATACCTATATATATTTATAGGAAATATACCTATACCAGGAAAAAAGCCTCTGCGCTTTTGGAACTCCATGTTTTAGGTAAAATGTACAAAGAACAAAGGACATTTCTCAGCTGTTTGTGTCTGTTCTCTTCACCTGTTTGGTAACTGCATTCTCTATGATTTGTACTGTAGACCCACTAGAAATTTAGAGTTCAGTCTTTGTTTAATAGTTAATAAGCATACTCTGGATGTATTGCATCCAGGGAGTATTGATTTTAGTACTTGCTGCATCCCTGATTTTCTGACTTTACCTCTCCTTGCTCAGCTATCTTTGGCACGCAAGTTATTAAGACCAGTTTCTTTTGCGAAGGCCTTTTACTACTTATCTCCTTTCTTTAAGCTGACATTTTCAGGTATTATCACATGTTAAAGCTATAGCTGTTACTTTGCTTGTGAGATACTGAGACAGTTTTGTCTAGAAAAAATGAATTTGTTTTCTTACTCGCTCAAGATAAGCTTGCAGAGCAGAGGTGTTTGACACTGCGGCTTTGGTGGAGGTGTTGTTATAGTTGGTGGTACTGGTATTCCATGGCACGACTTGTTGTCATCAACAATCCAGTGATGAGCCATTTGGGGACAGGAGGAAATTATCTTGCCACTTGGTAAGCGGCATTCATCTGCTTTATTGTTTGTACATGTTCCTGGAAGAGACAAGCTGCTTAAGTCTCACAAGCCACATCAGAGATGCACAATACATTCCTGGGCTGATATGTTTAGGTGTGATGTGCTCATGAAATGCATATTTTACCTTGCTTCATAGGGAGCAGTTTCTCTAGTTATATGAACTTTAGGTTATGGTAAAACAAACAGATGTAAAACCCTAGCCCCAAAGAAATACTGAGCCTTTGACATCCTACAGAAGTTGAAAAGCAGAACTGTACTCATTTCCATTTACTGCTGTCTAAAAATTTCTGTAAATTGTAAGACTGCATAGCCAGAGTGGATGAGAATAACCAAAGTAGGGGTGGGGAAAGAGGACCCCCTCCAATCTGAGCATTTTTCTTACCACATTGTCCTTCCGTATTGTTGCCAAATTTGCTGTATGGGAGCTTCACAGAGAAAATCAAACCACTAAAGGTGATGACAGCACCAATTTCTTCTATTTCAACAATCATATTGATGCCAAGAGTGGAGAAAGAAATGCCATCTTTTTTGAAGCCAGGTTCAACAATCTTTTTGTTGAAGTACATCTGAATGCAGGGTAAATAAAACGAAACAAAACAAAACACCACGTCAGAGTAAGTACTGCTTCTGCCTAATAGTTTTAAATAATACGTTTTCTAATCTTCATAATTATGCATAACTCTATATTGTTATTCATTACATCCAGTTCCCATTGGCATCCTAATGACAGCATATATTTGCATTGATATCTTGGCTTGTATTGCTATATTGCTAAAATGTGATAATAGTCTAAGTGGCCTCCATGTACTGTGTTTGTGCTGATTGTATGCTAATGCACAGTATTCTATGCATAGAAATCCAAGTATTTTCATTTTATCCCTCATGATTTTGTGTATTGGAAACATTTTTCATATGAAAATGGGTGGTAGCTTTCTTTAGCTGCAGAAACATCCCTGCCATTATTATGTAATAACTTTGCCAGATAATCATACCATCTCTGTATTACATAGTAATTGCCATTGCAAGAGTTTTCTGAATTCAAAAGAAAGTCAGGAAAACCCTTAGTGCCAGTTTTATGTAGTAGTGATCATATTTATTTGTTAAACTTTTCAATTTGTAGCCAGTATCTTATATGAGATAATAAAGCTAAACATATTAGCCAAATAGTTTTTTGTCAGAAGTTATTCTGCAACTCTCTCCTCACTGAATCAGGCTAAAGCAGGAGTTAAAATTGTCAGTTACTGTTTTCTTTTGCAGGGAATCACTGCAGCCAACATGTGTTTCTGACTGAGAATTTGGCATGGCACTGTAAGTTGGGAGTGCCTATTCAGACAAACTTTCCTCTCTCTCTATAAATTCTCTAATCAACTAATAGATTCTCCAGTGTAAGAGTGGGACTACCTTTTTAATTTAATTGGTTTTCGAACACTACTTTAGATCATGAATGTGAGGTAACAGTCTAAGTCACCCCTTTTTTTCAGCTATACCTTTCTTCACAGTAAGAAGTTGAAGGAGGAGTCATGTCAGGGCTGTGTGATGCCTGAAGTTGCATATGTAGAGAGAGCAGTCCCTAGCCATCCAGTGGATAAAGGATACATATCCATCTTCCCCCAAAAGAAGACTCCTGCTTGCAATTTGCATTTGTACGTCTTCAAAGTGTGTTTACATAAATGTATGGCACAATGTACCAGTTTTCATGAAATATGGATTTTGTTCTTATTTTCAATAATTGCAATCTTTTTTCTCCCCCCCACCCCAGTGATACCCTCTGTCCTGATCCACCTCCATGATGTGATATTCTAACAGACTGTATTGCAGAATAGCATTAGTAAGGCTTAGAGACGCTACTTCCTTTTTGCAAAACCAGAAAAACATATTTACCACATTGGTCATCACACCATTCATGAGTTCACGAGTCAGGAGCACTTCTGCAGATTTGTAGAAAATAATAATGGATTTAGGGCAAGAGAGCCCATCTTTCGCATCACAGTAGTAGTTGTCAATGTAAACACGGAAGTTGTCATATCTAGGGACAATCTGTTTCACCAGGACATAAGTGCAGTTTTCAAGGAAGGTATAATAGATTCCATCAAAAGTAATGTAATGAGGATCACCCCATCCACTACACACACCTGGTACAGAGAAAATATTTGGAAGATTAAGATGAGAATTTATGTAGAAGAAAACGTAAAAACTAAACATACTACAATTTATAAAGCAAGCCTAAGAAATTAAAATGCCCATATAATCTGTGTAAAGCTTGCCTTCCTTTTTTTTCAAAAGGCGTTATTTCTGAATCAATTGGTGCTTACATTGACACTCATATCGGTAACAGCATCCATTTTCATCTGGTACCAGCACTGGTGGATATTTGTTTGCACAGGTAATTTCCTTTACGGGTGGGCAGACCGTTGGTACTACGTCTATATCGTTGTCTCCATTACAGATCACTTCTGTACAGTTGGATAATTTGAATCTTTCTCCAGGCTGCACAATGAAGGAAAATTTTTTGTCACAAAACTCTGCAAACAGGTATAACCTTTACTCCTCTTTTTAGATTTATTCTATAATTTTTCCAGTAACGGTGGTGTCGAAAAGGAAATCAGTATGTGTTAGTACTCTTCAGTTTGTGGTTTAGTGATTTTTGAAGGCAACTAGAGGTATTCAAAACACTGACCATATTATGTGGGATAGAAAAAAAAAAAAAGACTAAAGCTAAAACCTTCAGTGACAGAAAAAAGTTGTCAATATTCTACAAGATTTCTTTTTTTAATGTAAAAAGGAGGAAGGGACCTTAACTACACTTGCTGCTTCTGCATGAGGAGCTCTTCTGGGGCTTGAGAGATATGTATTAGGTTACAGGAAATTATTTCCTCTATTCTATGTATAGCATACCTCAAGGTCAACAGAGAGCATAACAATGGAGAAAGTTTAAAGGAGTAAAGATAAAAAGGCAGGAGAACAGAAACACATACAAGCCTTTACTGTATCTTAACTACTTCCCTGTACTGAAAAAATAAAACCCACAAGAAAACTCCTTCTATTATGTCAGTGGAAAGATTCCTTAAATGCACAATGCACCGAAGAGTTATATTAAAAATAGAGTAACAAGAAAGAATACTGTAACTTGCTCTAGCAGTATAAAAACTGAAATTCAGGAAAAGGAAAGCTCAAACATTAGGTCCTACATACTGCTCATCATTAGCAAAATAATTAAGACAATCAACACATGTAAGGTTTAAACACTACATATTGTTCCAATGTGCTACCACTCAAAAAAGGATACTATTCCAAAAGTCAAAAAATAACACAGAAGTTACGTACTTGTAATGGAGGATAAAGAGCGGAAACACAACCATGAAAAACAACATTTGCAGAGGTGGGACGCAAAGGAACTGATGTTGTTACTGTAGACCACTCAGAGGAAGTAGTGGCTGGTGAAGTAGAGACATTACAATTCACAGTGTGTCGTTCAATAACACATGTTGGGCTGCAAATGGCATAAAATCTGCATCCATCACTATCCATTCTATTGTAAATCAAATCACCTGAAGAACAGGAAATACAAGGAAATATTAAATAAAAACAAAAAATATAAAAAGTAAGAAAGGAAAAAAAAATGTTCATAAGATGAAAAGAGAAAAAAAGAAAGAGAAAAAAATGAAACAAATAAAGAGGAATCAAAAACAAGAAAACTAACCAGGTGAAAAAATAGCATCACCAATCTTGCAGAAACACGGCGTAGTAGAAACCACAGGTGGAGATGAGGTAAAGACAGCTTCACTTCGCGTAATAATTGTGGATGTCCTGGTGGTGGTTAAAGGGGTAGAGAACGAGCAGTTGTAGTTGGGGGTGCAGCAGAGCACGCGGATCTTGTAGTTGAGGCACATCTTGAATTTGCCCGTCTGGTCCTCGTTCTTGCACACCAGTCCAAAGTGGACGTCGCACTGCACGACCTGCCCCACCTGCTGGATGGCAACGTCGGGGTAGTCCTCCGCCCGGCACTCGATCTCCTTTGGCTGCCGGCAGATTCGCTTGCCGGCGGCGCGGATGTGCTGGTACGTTTCAAAGTCTCCCTGGTTGGGCCCCGAGGAGGGGAAGTCAACGTCAAACCACTCGCTCCAGGTGCACACTTCGGGTTGACAGGTGGTGGTGGAGGTGGTGGTAGACGTCAGTGGCGTGGTGCTGGTGGAAGTGCTGATTTCCGTGGAGGTGGGACTCGTGGTGGTGAAGGTGTAGGGCGTGGAGGTGGAAGTGGTGACCGGGGAGGAGGTTGGCAGCGTTGTGGTTGCGGTGCTGGTGGTGGGGCTGCTGTGGGTGGAGGGGATTTGGATGGAGCAGTTGTAGTTGGGGGTGCAGCAGAGCACGCGGATCTTGTAGTTGAGGCACATCTTGAATTTGCCCGTCTGGTCCTCGTTCTTGCACACCAGTCCAAAGTGGACGTCGCACTGCACGACCTGCCCCACCTGCTGGATGGCAACGTCGGGGTAGTCCTCCGCCCGGCACTCGATCTCCTTTGGCTGCCGGCAGATTCGCTTGCCGGCGGCGCGGATGTGCTGGTACGTTTCAAAGTCTCCCTGGTTGGGCCCCGAGGAGGGGAAGTCAACGTCAAACCACTCGCTCCAGGTGCACACTTCGGGTTGACAGGTGGTGGTGGAGGTGGTGGTAGACGTCAGTGGCGTGGTGCTGGTGGAAGTGCTGATTTCCGTGGAGGTGGGACTCGTGGTGGTGAAGGTGTAGGGCGTGGAGGTGGAAGTGGTGACCGGGGAGGAGGTTGGCAGCGTTGTGGTTGCGGTGCTGGTGGTGGGGCTGCTGTGGGTGGAGGGGATTTGGATGGAGCAGTTGTAGTTGGGGGTGCAGCAGAGCACGCGGATCTTGTAGTTGAGGCACATCTTGAATTTGCCCGTCTGGTCCTCGTTCTTGCACACCAGTCCAAAGTGGACGTCGCACTGCACGACCTGCCCCACCTGCTGGATGGCAACGTCGGGGTAGTCCTCCGCCCGGCACTCGATCTCCTTTGGCTGCCGGCAGATTCGCTTGCCGGCGGCGCGGATGTGCTGGTACGTTTCAAAGTCTCCCTGGTTGGGCCCCGAGGAGGGGAAGTCAACGTCAAACCACTCGCTCCAGGTGCACACTTCGGGTTGACAGGTGGTGGTGGAGGTGGTGGTAGACGTCAGTGGCGTGGTGCTGGTGGAAGTGCTGATTTCCGTGGAGGTGGGACTCGTGGTGGTGAAGGTGTAGGGCGTGGAGGTGGAAGTGGTGACCGGGGAGGAGGTTGGCAGCGTTGTGGTTGCGGTGCTGGTGGTGGGGCTGCTGTGGGTGGAGGGGATTTGGATGGAGCAGTTGTAGTTGGGGGTGCAGCAGAGCACGCGGATCTTGTAGTTGAGGCACATCTTGAATTTGCCCGTCTGGTCCTCGTTCTTGCACACCAGTCCAAAGTGGACGTCGCACTGCACGACCTGCCCCACCTGCTGGATGGCAACGTCGGGGTAGTCCTCCGCCCGGCACTCGATCTCCTTTGGCTGCCGGCAGATTCGCTTGCCGGCGGCGCGGATGTGCTGGTACGTTTCAAAGTCTCCCTGGTTGGGCCCCGAGGAGGGGAAGTCAACGTCAAACCACTCGCTCCAGGTGCACACTTCGGGTTGACAGGTGGTGGTGGAGGTGGTGGTAGACGTCAGTGGCGTGGTGCTGGTGGAAGTGCTGATTTCCGTGGAGGTGGGACTCGTGGTGGTGAAGGTGTAGGGCGTGGAGGTGGAAGTGGTGACCGGGGAGGAGGTTGGCAGCGTTGTGGTTGCGGTGCTGGTGGTGGGGCTGCTGTGGGTGGAGGGGATTTGGATGGAGCAGTTGTAGTTGGGGGTGCAGCAGAGCACGCGGATCTTGTAGTTGAGGCACATCTTGAATTTGCCCGTCTGGTCCTCGTTCTTGCACACCAGTCCAAAGTGGACGTCGCACTGCACGACCTGCCCCACCTGCTGGATGGCAACGTCGGGGTAGTCCTCCGCCCGGCACTCGATCTCCTTTGGCTGCCGGCAGATTCGCTTGCCGGCGGCGCGGATGTGCTGGTACGTTTCAAAGTCTCCCTGGTTGGGCCCCGAGGAGGGGAAGTCAACGTCAAACCACTCGCTCCAGGCGCACACTTCGGGTTGACAGGTGGTGGTGGAGGTGGTGGTAGACGTCAGTGGCGTGGTGCTGGTGGAAGTGCTGATTTCCGTGGAGGTGGGACTCGTGGTGGTGAAGGTGTAGGGCGTGGAGGTGGAAGTGGTGACCGGGGAGGAGGTTGGCAGCGTTGTGGTTGCGGTGCTGGTGGTGGGGCTGCTGTGGGTGGAGGGGATTTGGATGGAGCAGTTGTAGTTGGGGGTGCAGCAGAGCACGCGGATCTTGTAGTTGAGGCACATCTTGAATTTGCCCGTCTGGTCCTCGTTCTTGCACACCAGTCCAAAGTGGACGTCGCACTGCACGACCTGCCCCACCTGCTGGATGGCAACGTCGGGGTAGTCCTCCGCCCGGCACTCGATCTCCTTTGGCTGCCGGCAGATTCGCTTGCCGGCGGCGCGGATGTGCTGGTACGTTTCAAAGTCTCCCTGGTTGGGCCCCGAGGAGGGGAAGTCAACGTCAAACCACTCGCTCCAGGCGCACACTTCGGGTTGACAGGTGGTGGTGGAGGTGGTGGTAGGTTTTGGTGATGTGCTGCTTATTACTCCTGTGTAAGTTTTTTGTGTAGTTGGTTTTGATGTTATTCTGGTATGTATGTAATCTGTTTTCGGTTGGACGGTGTATTCAGTTGTTGTCCTGTGTTTTGTTTGTAAACTTATTGTTGTTGGTCCTTTTTTGGATGTTGTTCTTGACCAAAGTGTAGTTGGTTCTATTGTTGTAGTAACACTTTCAGGGGTTGTTTCGCATGGTACGCTTATATTTATGCAGCATTTAAATCTTAATTCATAATTATAGCAGATGGGTGGCAGTTGATCTTTGTTGTAACATTTCAACCCTTCTTCTGTGTTACACGTTATGTGTTGCTCTAGCAGAGGGTATGGTGTATTAGGGAACCGTACTGCTCTACATTCCACATCCTTTCTATTTTCACAAACTTTGTATCCTTTGTTTTTTATGTTCTGAATGGTGTCAAAATCTCCATCATTGTAACCTGACCCTGGATAACTGACATCATACCATCTTGACCAGTAACATTTTTCCTTGAAACAGAGAGGAATTGTTGAAGGGGATGTGGTGACAGGTGTCATCATTTTAGTTGTGGTTGTTGTTTCTTCAGTAGTTGAAGGTGTGAATGTTGTACGTTCCGTGGTAACTGAATGCGTTGTTTCAGTAGATGTTTCTGTCAGAGCTGAAGTTGTGACCTGGGTTGATGTGCTCAGAGGCGTTGTGGAAGAGCATGGTACAAAAACACAGCAGAGGATTCTGATTTCATAGTTGTTGCACATTGTTGAAATTTGATCCTTGTTGTAACATATCAGCCCTTTCGTTGTACTGCATTCTACTTTTTGGCCAAGGTCTTTCAGTGGTATATCAGGGAATTTTTCTGCTCTACATTCCACAGCCCTTGGAGCTTTACAGACTTCGTATCCTTTTGCTTGTAAATCATGAAAAGTTTCAAAATCTCCCCCATCATAGCCAGGGGTCTGTAGACTCCCATCATACCATTCTGACCACGTACAGACTTCATGAACACATACTGATGTAGTTGGTGACACTGTAAAGGATAAAAGGAAGAGACAATGAAATTAAGAATTAATTCCTATGGATACCATATTTTTTCTTATTTTAATTGGGCTGACAATTTTCCTAATGTCATTTTTCTTGCATTTTGCTCCTGTAGTTTATTAGCATTAGTTTATTATATATATAATTTGTTGTAGAACAGAAAAAAACCAAACAAACAAAAAAATCAGCCACTCTGCAATTTGATGTAGTGACAGGCTGCCACTTCCAAGAAGAATACAAATTATGTGTTACAAGGTGCTGAAATAAGGCTCAGGTCTAATTTATACACATTGGAAAAAAAGCAACTCTCACATGTTTTGCGTTTGGTTCAGTGTTACTTGCTTTGGTTTTATCTTGCTTCATTATATACTAGTCTCTCTGGAATGTATTGAAATCAGCGCAGAGTTTAGCATATGCACTGAGATCCACAGCTATATTTTTCTTCCAAATCAGTTGACTCCTCACTTTATTATCTTTGCTCCTCCATTTCAAGCATCCCTACACTTTCTATTTTAGCTGTGATCTTAAGAAACCATTTATTGATTGGAGAGCTTTTGCAGGTCAACTCTCATTTACTAAATTGATGGAAAAATAGCTACTGAATTCCAGCAATGCTGATATTTTCTGCAATTTCACAACTTATGTTTTATACTCAATACTGATTTCAACATACGCCCAGAGTAACTAGAGATTCCCAACCTGAAGAATGCTGTAAAGGAATCCTAAAAACTAAAATTTCATTATCTCAATGCCAATATCCGAGCAATCCACTTAATATTGTAAAATCTATTTTTCTCACTAAGGAAGAGAATATGCCCTAATGGGCTACAAAGGATGTACCTGTGGAAGTAGTGGTAGGTGGTGTAGAACTGAAGTGAAATGTCGTTGCTGTTGTGGGTGTTGTTGAGGTGAGACAGTAATGGATAAATCTTTGAAGCGTTCCATTGGGACCACAGGTTGCAACAATACACCATCCTGTGCCATCTGTAGTGTTGTAGACCACATCGTTGTAGTTGTATTTCTGTCCCTCATAAATGCAGACACATTCTGTAGATTAAAACAGGATGTTATTCCATGCTATCTGAAACACAGAGTACCCTAAATGTGTCTTATACATATAGAAATTACTTCATCAACATACCATGTTCATCATATCTGCATTTTTTGCCATGAATTGTGCATTCACTGAAACAGAGAAAAACAGGTTATGAGTGTGGGCATACTGGTTCGTGACATAATTTTTTTGTTTTAGTTTCTCTTCTATCAAGCCTTTGCTATTCATTGTGTGTTTAAATGTAAAATGACTATCTTCTCTGAGTTAGTCATTTCTGCTGTACATTCAGACTAGGCATCTTCACAAGTTCTCTGGCAAGAAAGGTAGCTCTTCTTTGAGCCAGCATATAAAACATGCAGCATCCCTACCAGTGCTTTCAGGAACAGATGAAAGATGGATCATTTGAAATATTCTTATCTCCCCAACAGGTCTATTTATTTTTTGGAAGAGAAAAGCTCAGTAAATGTATAATTGATATTTACAAGGATATACACAAAGGATCACTACCATGGACATTGATGTAATCTAAACCGTGAATTTTCATTAGGCTTCCAAAATATGCAAGAAGAACCCTGGTTTTAGGCACAATTTATCAATTAAAAGCTGAATCTTGATTGTATTTATTTACAGGGACTAAGGACATTTACACACTGAATAAACTGAAATTTAGATATGTATTTAATGGGTTAGGTTTAGTGCTGTTAGTGGCCTAGATGATATAGGTAAAGGCATCTATGAAGTGCAAAACCTGCCAAGGAAGTTGGTTTAGCTCCAATGGGCTTTGGTTTAAGATTTTTTTTTTGTTATTCAGATTGCACTGCTTACCACATTTAAGTGCAGCTACATTAAAGGTATCTTAAGACAACTGCTTCACAATTGGTTTTGCTAATTCTGTACTTAAGCCTTACAGAAGGCTTGGGAGCACTATATCACAGGGTAATGCCATGAGAATAAGTGCTGACTGTTGCAATTCTGCAAGTACCACTGCAATAACAGAAACAAGCTCAAAACAACATAGATGAGTTGGCTGCTAATTTCTAATGAATTTCACACGAGTTTAGGGATATCTTTTTAAAAATTCTCAGACTATTCTCTAACTGAAATAATTTTAGCTTGTTTTCACTTCATTTAATATTAATAACAACTTAAAAGGACGTTAATAAATATATAAAATAAGTAGTAAACTAATCTCTCGATGATAAAATATTTCACTATGTTATCATTTAATTCCCTGGGAAGGGAAGGAAATCAGACATTGTTCATCTGCCCCTGACTGGCCTAGTTCCTGCTGGCAAATAATTCATCACACATTTAACTAATTATGTTCCACAATTTTAAACTCTATTTTTAACATTCTATTCTAATCCTACCATGATTCACAATTCTGCTTTGAAGGCATCTCCATTCCTGGTTTGTAATTTTTTCCATCTTCATAACAACCACAATTAGAAACACAGGTCATGGTTTCCTCATCAAAATAGGGCTTATTTTTGGGACATTGTGGATAGCAGCCTGCAATGAAAAGAGAATCAAGTTGATACTAGTAGTTCATAAGTAACTCTACACTCATATCTGCTTTTCCCAAAATGTCCCACATAGTAAGTGGAATTTCAGACCCTCTTACTGCTATTCCTTTGATTGCACATTATGCTTTGGAGTGTTTTATCCTCATCTTCACTCCAAACAAGTATGTAATCCATTAGGATATATACAATACAATATTAATTAGAAAATATCTTATAATTTCTAGTGCAAACATGTCATACACTGAATAATACAATTTTTGTTCACTATACTGCATTTTAACCTTTCAAGTAGAATGAGATATGCATAGTTATGTTTACCTTCCAAACCCCTCATCTCATGAAGACATTTCCCACTTGGATTATTGCAGGTCTTCATACAAGGTGCTCCACATGGCTTGTAGTGCCACTCACATTCCCCTTGTGGATTATAGTAATCACAGAACAGAGCTAGAAAAAGAAATGTCAGAAAAATCTATTTGATGTTTTAGCTGTATACTCTTTCAGGGTTTTTTTTGTAAAAATCCAGTGGGCCCAGCATAATCACAGAGATGGTGAACAATATATTGTCTTACTGCTAACACAATACAATTGTTATAGTTCTAAAACCTTTTAACAGCAATAAATATATATATCATAAAAGAGAGTTACACATTAAACATGAAAAATCAGTTGACTGAAACACTGATCTTAGCTAGTGTGCACTAATGTTTATTTACATAGAGCCTGATGTAGACAGGTAGCAGTGCAATAAAATATCATATTTCACCAGTACTCTATCATGATTGTCAAGTTAATTAGACACTAATCACACCACTTGTAAAATTATTACCTGTGGTTTCATTTTACTAAGATAGATTGTCTTCTAGTGATTTACCCAACTGCTTTGTTGGGGTTTTTTAGGATTGTTTTTTTTTTGGTTTTGTTTGCTATTTAAGCATACAGCTGTGCCTCTTAGAAATACAATTTTATCTTTCCTTTCTTCTTCTACTTTGTTTCCTTTTTTCCCCTTCTGTTATCTTTCCCTCTGAACCCCTTAAAAAAGTAGTGGGTTAAAACTCACGACAAATGGATGGGGTTCTCCATGATATGCAGATGTCCAGCTCATTACATGCTTGAGCATAGGCAGCTACTGCTGTGCAGAAACATTCACAGTCTCCTCCAGTGTCACAGGCACAAGCATCATCCACACAGGCTTGGTAATACTCATTTGGTTCAACCTGATGGAAAAAACATTCAAGTTTTCACGCCCTTGTCCTCTTTGCACTGTCCTAAAATAACTGGATAAGATATCTGAAACTCATAGCTCTGTATGTGAGAAAGCTAGGAAAAGAAGAAGTGATGAGAATGCTTTGAAAAATCAAGAGGAAAATGTAGAGCAAAGCTATTGCTAGTAAGCTGGAATGTTAAGAACTGTTTGATGGTGAAGACAGTTGCAAAATATTGGTAATTACTACAAGCTAGCACAGAGTCATACCTATCAGATGGCTGATATTTATTTTATTTTTTTTTATATTTTTCTATATTACTAGAAAATTATGCCATTAGAAAATAAACGTATCTTGAGATCTATTGTTGTTCCTTCTATTAAAAACAAACAAGCTATCTAACCAACCAAAACAAACAATTTCTTTAGTGTACTTGCTCAAGACAAAAACTGAGAAAATATAAGTGAAAATATTCCTATGCAGTCTTTGTGTAGGAACTTGGTCTAACTTCACCTTGTCAATCATGACACAATGTATTTTAGAGTATTTTTTAATCTATTTCACATAAAAATGGATGTAAACATTTTGTCAAGAATTTAAGACTAAATTTTTTGTCCTACCTGTGAGTGACAGTTTGAAAACACTTCACTGGTAATGATGCTGCATTGCTTCTGTGCCCAGGCTTTCCTGTATGGATTTGCAGAGCATGGATCCTGGGTACGATTGGCATTTGGGCAACTAGAAGACACTTTCCAGCTATTGGCAAACTCCAGCACATTTCCTACCACAGACTGACTGCGAGTAGTGAAGTCATTATTTCCATTGCCATCATAGTTTCCACAAAGTCCGCACACATGGCCCTGCATCAGGATAAACAAACGAAATTACAAGGATCCCATAAGGGACAATTTCTTACTATCTGTGAGTAACAGACCTCAGGATGAGTCTTATGTAACCATCTTAAATAAGATTATTAATGCCTATTTAGTAATGGTGTTGGTCATTTTCATAAAACCCTTTTCATGAAGAGATGTCTCTAACTTGTTCAGAAGAAGGAGTAGACTGACGGGTTTTGTTTTAAGTACTGAGCTATGTAGTTTTTGATGATCCTAAATATGTCTCTTCAGTGAGGGCTTTTCATGAAGAAAACTACTGACAAAGTTGCTGTTATACCATTGCTGAATAATATAATTTAAGGATACTGGATAGTACACAATTTAAGTCAACACAACAAGGATAACAATATGTGATTTCTGCTCTTTTGGCTACAGTCTTCTGGTTTACAGCTTAAATTTCCACCCTCTTTCTTTGAGAGATAATAGCAATGTGTTGCAGAATTTTATACATGTTTTCACTTTTAAAGTGTACCTGAAAGCTGGGACTAAGTTTGATGAATATACTGGTTTTCTTGTCCCACATGAGTATCAGACCAACAGTAGTGTCAACCACCATGTAGATGCCCATGGAACGGATTTGGAATGGCATTTTTCCTCCAGGTGTCCTCTGGATGACATCTGAGTGTCCATCACTGAGTACCAGCTCATAGTTCTAAGACAGGAGAAGAAAAACTTAGAGGCCAATTTAAAAAGTCACCTAATTTGTTGTTTTGTATATTGACAGTAACTTCTTGAAATAATAATATTATCATCAAAAGGATCCTATTTAACAACCTCATGTTAAGAAATTTCTCCGTAGAGTTCCCTCCTTTGCTTTTTAGAGCAGAGAGCAAAAAAGTCTAGTCACATTTGCATTATCTTGGAGGCCACTTCTCCTATGCAATCTATCCGGGACCACATGTTTCATCCTTCTGGCACAACTTAAAGAAAATACTTACACCCAAGAAAACTTTAATAGACTTAGAGCAGGTAGTTCCTGTAGTGCCACATGGTATGTTCTCAGTGATGACTCTGAAGGTTCCCTGATTCATAGCTTGTTGACCACAGTAGTTCTGAAATAGGAGAATGATATTCACTGTTTACTATGTTACACGTTCATAACTAAAATTCAAGGTATTTAGAGCAAAAATCTAGGCAGGGCTCTGTTACCTGGACCAGAACATATTCACAGTCTCCTTCAAAGTCAAAGCGTTTGCCGTCAAAGGTGGTATAATGCCCATCTCCATAAACAGAACATGTTTCCAGGCAGGGTTCCTCAGAGCATTGCCATTTTCTGTTTCTACATGTGCTACACAAGACAAAAATCACTCCAAATGTAAAAACCAGACAAACACACAATATAAATATAGGTACATTTCTGTATTTTAAAATGTGTTAAGATTCTACTGAAAAAATAAGGTTTGCTTATTCTCAAAAATGCAGCATAGCACAAGAACAATTGGAATTTATCCAAAGACATATTTCTTAATAATGTAATGAATCATATGCATTAGAAAACACCAGTTCTTTCATATTTCCAGATCCTGTTGGATCTATTAATTGGAAGGATTTATTTGGAAGAAAGACTTTTTGACTCGAATGAATATGACAACATCAAAACCATAGTGTTTTTCTGACCACCTGCGATTTCTGGGTGGTGCCATTAAGAAAAATTAGAGCTTGCTTTTTAGGTACTAAGTGGATCATTTTATGCAGGATTCCTTCCTAGAAATCTTGATACTGCTAGAGTGAAATTATGTTATTTGCTTAGACTTAAAATGTTCTGTTTTTTATTCCCAAAATATTATTTTTCAATATGCTCTTACCAGTTGTTACAGCCAACTCTGATTGATTCTCCTGGACTGTAGGAATTCCCATTGTGAATACATGGACAGTCTTCTGGAGCTATACAGCCACCTTTGCCATCCAACACTTGATCATGAGGACATACACAGCCAGAGACACAGTGAGTTTTGTACTGTAAGGACCATAAAGAAAACGTGTCTTGAAACATTTCCCTGCTGGAAGAGTCTAGTTGTAGCTGGTAATTGTAAAAGAGATCTTGAGTAATATGCTTTCAACTAGGTATAAAAAGTCTGTACTTACACATTCCATGTCTAGAGTCTGACAGCTCTTCTGGCATCCTGCTCCTACCACATTTGCAGTGACATTGCCACAGTCAACATAAACCATGGGAGGCACACAGACTGAAAGAGAGGAAAGCCATGAGAAATGTGAGACCAACCATGCATTTGTATCTTTGTGTTTCCAAGAAAAAAAACCAGAAATACTCCCTTGTGAATTATGTGTACCTTAATGTGATGTCTTTAGTGAGAAAGAAACCAAAATATGAGATGTTTTGATCTCATATTCACCCGGTTTTTGTGATTTTGCTTGCACTACTCAATAAAATTAATTTTTAATTAGCTTCATAAAACAATTCCTTTCATAAAGACAGGAAAAAACTAGGATAATAAATATCCTGGTTTACTTGTTTGGGTTTTTTTTAGTTTGATTGTTTTACATTTGAATTAAAATGTGAATAGTTTTCCCCTCACATTGAGTGAGTTGACTAAGTATCCTTTTACCCTGGGTAATCAGGGGGTTCTAACTTGTTTCAGCCACCTGAAAGGTGTTTCTTTATATTGAGAATGTCCTCTACATTACAGAAATTCTCAATTAATTTTCTTGGTTAATTTCAGATTTGTACAATTTGCATCATTATGACAAGAAAGGAAAGAAATTAAAAGAGTGAAGACAGAAAGGGAGAATTAAAGAAAATCTTAAGTGATATGTTACCTGGTTCAGGCTTTTCTCCAATGCAGCTCAGCTTTCCATAGGTGCAAGTGCTATAAAAACAAGGGAATGGATATTTTTAACATTTTCTTGTTAAGTTTCAGCCCATTTCCCAATTAACTTGAAATAATGAAAAATTACTGTATGATGGAACAAATAAAATGTGTCCTTTATCAAATAGTTTGCACATTTCAAAAATATTAATGTTCTATATTAGAGTATAACAAAATAAAAGTAGATTCTATATAAATAAATGCTTGCTCTGTCTATATGCCTGGTTTAAAACTGTCCTTCAGAATAGTTCAGATTCCCATCATAATGGGAATAATCTGTAACTATATCATCAGGCATCTTTCACCATGGAACAAGCCTTTTACAGTCATGGATAAGAAAAACGTGTGGAGGCAAGGAAGAAAGGAAGGCATGGAGAAAGGGACAGGGTAGGAGTTTGGCTGTTAGCAAAGGCTGACCCACCACAGGACTGTTTGTTGAATTCCTATACTTGTTTATGTCCAATCTTCCAAACACAGGTAGCCCTAAGAATTTTTTAAGCTATGAATTTTTTAAGTGAAAATTTCAGGCATAGAAATTAATTTCATTTGATATCATAACATTTATATGGTTTCATTATTGCCTACATATATGTATTTACTTTTAACACAAATCTCTTACCAGACAACGCCATTATCATGAACAACTTCTCCAGAAGACAGAGGCATTCCTTTGTAGTAACAGGGACAGCTAGAAGCAGGCACACATTTGCCACTGTCATCCATGTAGGTTCCGTTTATGCAGGTACAGCCATCAACTGGGACAAACTTGATGCTGCATGTGACATCAGGCTCACTCAGAGACCGGCAGGTGGGTTGACAGGAATTGACATTGTAGGTGTACGTCAAGGACTTCGGACACAAGGTGGTGTATTTTGCTTGGGAATAAGAAAGTGAGTTACATTTGCTGTTAATTCAAGAATCAATATAGGTTTAAAGTAGTTGCGATAAAGTATATATGATTAACATGGCATTGTATGTACATATGCTTTACTGATATCTCCAGCAGCATCACTTTTTGTAGTACTAAAGCAAAATTTTCCCCTATGACTGTGTCAAATGTTTTGCCCAAGTTAAAAAAAAGAACAAAGTTCAATTATATTAAGACAGTGTGTTTCTTTCTCTATTTTTATACTTTTTGTCAAAGTAAGTTGAGAAACACCCTACTTATTTCATTGCTATTGCAAGGGTATCACTCTTCAGGTTTTTTTCTGATGGTTCTGAGTAAGTAATCTAACAAAGCCTCTTTTTCATATTTCTCCCTGTTTGTCTTTTATAGCATTCCTTTCTTCCTCAGCTTCTTGAAAGTCAATGCTATACTTAAACCTAGTTTAACACAGTTTACTATGGAATCCCTGAGAGCTGCTGTGTGGGGCCTTCTGGATGATCATTTTCATAAGGCAAAGGGATGTAAAACTTACTGCAGGCTTTGCTCCTCCATCCAGTGAGAAGAACTCCTTTTGCAGCACAGGCTCTGACGTAGCTGGAAAGGGCAGCACACATGCAGTCCTCACTCTTCTCACAGTTACACGTGTCAAACATACAGGTCTAGGAACAGAGGATGACATCACAATGTCATGTCAAAGCCATGGCACTCTGCAGTTTTTTAAGAGTGTTATGTTCACAAGAGATTAAAGTGAGTGTAATCCACATGTATAAAATAACCAAAAGAGGTTATTTATGTGAAAAAAAGAAATCAGAGGTCCACTGTTTTAATTTTTTCTTTTTTTCATGTGTTGGCTGTTTTCCAACTACTTCAAATTTGTTGCCAGTGTATCATATATATTTAGAATAGAGATTATTTGATGCCACCCATCTTTTGGAGCTTATGTTTAAGAGTCTGGGCTCTCTGCAGCAGAGGAACAAAGAATACAAGAAGTTATTTGATGGATTTCTGTGCTGGGCAGGGATAATACAATATTGTTAGTTCTAGATGACGTTTATTGAACATAGTTTTGCAAATTTCCAATAACAGGAAGGTTTTCTAAAGTACCCAGGGAGTCTGTTACAGCATTTCATCACCTTGAATCCCTGGAATATTTTTGTTCACATCTTGTCTAATTCTCATTGCTGCTTTTTATGCACATTGGTTGCCTTGTCCTTGCTTATATGCAAAATCCTTCTGAGAGCAGTTCAGAAGAATTAAAGTTTCAGTTAAGATTCTGGCTAAAGCTTTCATTGTATCTCTCGGAGAGGACAATTTTTATCCTTTGCCAGTGAATCCAAACTTCTAATTTAGTCTTTAAGCTTGCACCTAAAAATAAGTGCAGAAGGAATACACCTGCAAGTTTATCTTCCAGGGAATGGAAAGAAACATAGCTTCACAAAAGAACAAATTTCATATTGTGTAGATAAGAATGAACCCTTGGCTTGTAAGGTACTATCATGAATGCATCTCCTCACAACTGGCAAGTTATTATCTCAGGTGTTAGTATCAGAAATCTGAGTCTTTTTCTCATGTATTAGATGAGGTTAGAGAGAAATACCTTCTGGTAAACTTCTGGATTCACTGTTGAGTGACATTCAGCAAAAGGTCCCGTGGTATCCGAGAGCTGTCCACACCAGTGCTGAGCATACTGGTCTGTGAATTGAAAAACATGGTAAGGATTTCTGTGGCACTCCATTTGCAAAACTCTTGTCTCAATGGAATTATACCTCCTCCAGGGGAAGCAGAAGCTTAATGTTACAATATAATTAAGCTCTGCATTTGCTGAGGCACACGGTCTTTTACTTCCTCTAGGCAGAAATATGAACTCTTCATAAACTGAATGTTCTCTAATTCATGATAAGTGTCATGGAATAAACTAAAGATACCCTTAGCTGAATTTTAAAAAGGAAGGTTCGTACTGTAAATTAAAACCATGTTAGTTCATCTCAGAAAAGAGCAGCTTGTGAATACTCAAGAATTATATATTTTGTTGGCTGAAATGGAGCTTGAATGCTTTCAATCTCTGAAGTTTAAGTCTGGTTCTTAGTTTAACAGTGGAAGGGCCACAACCTTCAGGGGGGCTAGGCACAGTTTTTTTTCCCATGTGATAATCAGTCCTTTCCAGGGATAAATCCCTAATACGCTGCATGGTTCCAGTCTCCCTTAAGTAAATTGACTTGCCGTCTCAATCCAAAGGAACACATTTAAAGGTCCAAAATATTTTGCTAGGTATTATTGATTAATTGAAGCCTTCTAATGTCAACTGGGGAAAATTGTGTGCGTGTGTATGGATGCTAACTATGAAGCAGGGAGCACGGTGCCTGTGGAATAGCAGGCCGCATAACTTTCTCAGTCTCACCTGAGAAAGCAGCTTGGGAAATCATAAGGAGGAATTAAAACAATCCTCAGAGACAGCAAACAGCCTTGCAGGTGCTGTTTGTCAGTTTCTTGTTTTCTTGCAAGAGAAGGTCAAGTGGTGGTGTACCCAATTGACCAATGATGGTGATGTGTTAGCTTACTAACCAATAAGAGTTTTACTTTTCTGTACTTTCATGTATCAGTCTATAAAAGAAGATCTGAGGTAATAAACCTTGAGGGATGTAGAAACTCTCCTGTTCAACTCACAAGAGAGTCTGTGTCGTTCTTCTCGCCATTCCCAATAGAGTGACGTGTGCAAATACTTTTGTTATTTTGGCTAAATGCTTGGTGGTGCAGCTTATTCCTTCTTTGCATCTTAAAGGAGAATAGAAGAGGTTGATGAGCTTACCATTTTGTATGCTGACAGTACAGGGATCCTCAAAGGTATTTTTGGCATCAGGACAATCAGCCCGAGTTTTCCAAGTATTGCCAAAGGCAGCTGAAGTGCCCTCTATCACACCACTGGTGGTTTTGAAATCATCTGTCTGGACATCATTGAAGTTTCCACAGAGACCTAGAGGGAAGCAGATGGTCTGTGCAAGTCTCCTACAGGATGACAGGTACTGGTGAAGGCAGTTGTTAGGTCAAGGTCACTCACCACAGGTCTGCCCTTTATGTGATGGGTCTAGGTCTATATAAACTTGCATTGAAGGCACAAGTTGAACCTGTAGCTGAAGACCAAAAGTTGTTTGCAGAATTATGAAGAAAGATGAAGGCCTGAAGATGGTGACATTTGCTAGGGATAGAAGAATAAAATAGTTATAATTTCATTAGAGATGAGCATTTGAATTAATTGCTTGTTATACGAACAATATAGTAGAGGAATAGTAAAGGAATTCCACAGCTGTGTTTGATATGATCCTAATTTCTGAAGAACTGGTGGGAAAACAATCCTTATAGGATCTCAAATCCAGAACCAAAATGGTCTAACCTAAACACCTAAGCGATAAATGTATACAAAACCTCCACTTTCTGTCAGGTGTTTTATAAAATGAGGGAAGGACATACACTTCTGTTGTTACTTAAAAGGTTGCCTTTGTTTGATGAAAATGCTATAGTACTAAATTGAAGAGTCCAGGCTGGACCTATTCTGTCCTTTCATGGTTTGCTTTGTGTTCAGGTGCAGTAGGGTTTGAGAGGAACTGGCGTGTGAGAAACTTCAGTGATGAATGCACTTTGAGAACAAGGACAGAAGAACATAGGGAATTAAATGACTTGAGAAGTTGGAGTTCAGTTGCATGTCAGAATTTTTCTTTCCTCTCATATGACAATGTTTGGATCTGAAAGTGTGCAATAACACTATTTGCTTGAACTAATTAGATATTGCTAAATTTAAACCATGATGTCGCTAAAATTATTAGTGTTGAATAGGCAAACCCTATTACATAAAAATGGGAGACAGTGCTCTACGGCAGTGCTCTGGGTTTGCTGCAGTGAAACCAGAGGTAGAATTTGGCTTTAGTTTAAATCATCTAATAGCATTTTAAAGTAAAAATGAGAAATAGAAGTTTTTCAAAGGAACTTACCTGCTGAGAATGGTAACTGTGTGTAGATCATATTCACAAATACACTCCCAGAAGGCTGGATCACAATGTTCTGTCCACAAGAAAAAAATAATAATTATCAAGCAGATAAGTTAAATACTTTCCGAATGTTTCCTATCTGATATTATTCAAGATAAAGGGGGAAAAATGAAGGGATACTATGATGACGTTCTGATGCCTGTACCTATTTCTTTAATCATTATTACTTTGTTCCACTGACTGTCCAAGAAAGCAAAAACCATAAATTATCTAAATAACAGGAAGATACTAAGATCTCCTTTAATGTGCTTACTTTATTCTTAACTTTTCTTTTAATACGGTTTGTATGAGATAAAACAAAAAGGCAGTGCAAATTTCTTGTATGTGCTGTTATGTGACATTTGCCTTGTCTGTTAATCTTGGGGAACATCCTTAGAGGAAGTCAAGTGTGCACACTTGCTGCTCACCGTTTGTCCTCCATTTAAGCTGATGGCTACACCCTTGAGGCATGTCTCAGTGTCAGTCAGGCCACACTTGTGGATATCCCCCAACACCGTGAATTCATTGCTATCACAGAGCTTGAAGAAGAAAACAAGAGATATTGTTAAAAGGATTTGCTATATTGAAATATAGTTATCTCAAAAATGTTCACATGCAAATGGAATTCTTAGTAAAGTGAGTCTTTTAATATATGATTTGTTTCATTTATTCTTGCTCATGTGGGCTAACATATGCCTAGAGTCACCAAGCAAGCTGGCGCACACTGGATGCTGTAACATTTCTTCTGGCACTCAGAACATATTAACCTGAACAGTAAAACTTCCTCATGCATTAGTAAAACTAGTTGCTAATGTGTAGGTAATACCTGTTTAATATGCTACAGCAGGAGGAGGTGTGCCTTTCTTGCCCACTGGTTATGAAGTTTACCAGGGAAAGACTGTTTCCAATGTCTTCTGCACTGAATAGAGTATTCAAGACCCTGGTGATTTGGACACTCTTAACAGGTAGAAAATATGGATTTCAATATCCTCTCACAGGGGAAAATGAAATAAAAGTTATTATTCAGAAAGTTACTGCATAAAGGTTCAGATTTTGACTCAGTTCTGATTTTCATAGGAGTGTGCTCTGTGAGCCATCTTCAACTTGGCCCAATGGCCAAAACAAAAGGGAAAGACTCAGAGAAGGCTGTGATACTGAACTTGTCTTATCACCTTTTTGGCATTTTGAAGACTAAACTGAGGACAACTGAAATGCAGAATTACAGCCATCTAGAAATTCAGTATTAAATTCTGAGGCTTTTTAAACTTTTGTGTACAAATTTAGAGGTTTTCCTCTGCCTTCAGAGACCCTGAGAATCTAATTTTACATGTTGGTGCCCAAAGGAGGAGTTTAACGTGTTAAGTCTGACCTATGCTACTGTTGTGCATCAAGGCAGTGCTTGTGAATCTTACCAAAAAATTTCATTGATTTAGACTATTTCTAAATCATATCATTCTAGCTCATTTCTTAGATTTTATGATTCTCTTTCTTCGTAACATTCAGATTTATCATGTCAAGAACAGATTTTATTTAATATGAAGTCCTTATGAAAATAATTTACCTTAGTCATCCAGTAAAAATAAACAATGAATACACCTATGGTTTTGAAATCTAACAAAAACTCAGTGCAAATCTTAACAATTCTCAAAGAACACAAAAATACTACAATATTATTTAGTATAACTCTAACAGAAAAGCTCCTTAAATCCATTTAGGGATGTTAACCCTCAATCCATGCTAACCCTCTGAGATTCAGAAAACTGATGTGATTGCCAGTAGTTTTCATTAAGAATATTATATATAATAAAAACATTTTTCTTTAGCAAGCATTGTGACTAATTTTTACCTTGGTTAGGACATAACTACAGTCTCCAAAGAAGGAATAGTATTTCTCATCAAATGTTGAAATGTGGGAACCTCCTTCAACACTGCAAGTCCCAGGGCACGACTGAGTGACACAAGACCATTCACCTCCAACACAGGTGCTGAAAGGAAGGAGGCATTCAGTAACATTGGGTAATGCAAGTGTAAAACAAATAAAAAAGCAATAAAGGCAGATGATGCCTTAATTTTCCTCTTGAAACACTGATCATCCTGCAAAAGAATCCAGTATTGCTTTGAAATCTGAGACAAATATGGGGCAGGCACATTTATATTAAGGTAATAATTTTCTATACATATTGTTGTTTGCTTCTAGCCTTTGGACATAATTCAGTCCTGGTGAACTTGTAATCCATATCAAATATTTATTGGAAAAATAAATAAATAGCTATGTACAGTTGCATACACTTCTGCAGTAATAGTTCAGTAATTATAGGAATATTAAAAATACATCTTTTATATTTGTCAAGCATGCCTGTCAAATGTGGTCTCCCACTCTAAATGCAGCATGTCCCAAATGTCATGTCCTCCCTAGTATTTAAATGATAGCATTATACCATAGTGCTAAAAAGGTGTAACACTAATTCACATTTTTAAACACCTCTGGTATTTGACTTTATCTTCTTTCATTGATATTTCTTGAAATTGAAGCACCTGTTCAAAAACTCAAATTTTTGTTCCAAGTGTGAAGGGAAAACAGACATGAAAGTAACCTCTAAAGCAGAATAATTATGGAACTTCAATTGGTAAGTAATTGCTCATTTGTTTTTTAATGGGAAATCAGTAAATACTCACCTAATGCACAATAAACCCCCAACCCAAAACACCAAAAAGTGAGAAAATATGTTACCATGATCTGCATTTAGATGAGAAGGAAGCACCAGGAGCATAAGTTTCACCCTCATAGGTACAGTGGCATTCTGTGCGGGGAATGCAGCCAGCACCATTAACGTCATCAAACACCATTCCTAGGAAAAGAAAGGGTCTGTTACTTATTCTGTGCACTGCAGAACCTGCCTTCCAACACATATCTAGCAGATACCTGAGACTATGTCACATCTCTTCTGTACTTTAAAATGATAGAATACAAGCTATGTAGAAATTGAAGGGCTATATTGAAGTCTATCGAAAAATCTTGGCATGATCAAAAGAGACCTCTAGAAAAATACCTTTCTGCTATGGACTCCAGTCAAATGGAATTAGTATTAAAACTATTAGGTAATGAGATGGACTAGATGAACCATTTGAATATGAACCATGGACATATCTGAACAGTAAATATTTCTATGCCCAGAGAGAGAGGATTGCCTTAGAGAAGTCAGTGCTACTACAGAAACAAGTGATGGTGAATTCTCTGAGACATCATGGGACTGGGCAGAACAGCTGCAAGGGTTCCTGTGATACACAGTCACAACAGCAAGAAAAATTTAGACCCAGAAACATGCACAGAGAGAACACATCTATCTTGCATTGATAGATGCAATTCTTGTGTGTAATTCTCTGAAGCACCAGATCTAACACTCTGCCTAGTGCTCTGTCAGTTCCTTGTTGTTTAGACACACAACACTTGACAAGAAGGATTTGGTGATTTGCGCAATCCGATGCAGCTTTGCTAACAGCAGGCGTTATGACTGCATACAAAATCTGCTTAAACACTTCGTACTTTCTGTGAACTGAATTTGAATGCTGAGAACAGAAGACACTGTTGTTGATAGGAGCAAGTTATCTTATTGCCAGTTCAGTCATTTTATATACATATATATATAAAAGATATATATATAAAGCACATCTGTTGTTTAAAAGGTAGTATTCAGTAATTTGAATAGAAATAGTGCATCCAGGGGAGAAATGCAGCTATTACTGCAATGATAATAGCACTGATGATGTGATAGGACTGATCCAGAATATGAAGGTTGTTAAGTGTGTACAGGTGAGTATTCTAGGGGGTTTGGCTATGAGAATAGGGCAGGAAATGAGCTTGCCTGGAGGACAGACACAGCCATCTGTGCAGTGATCTTCACAAAGAGCAGATCGTTCTGGGTTGCTGCACGTGTCGGAGCAGGGAGAGCCACACTCATGGTATTGCATGTTGAACGGACACGATTTGGCTAAAAGTAGAAAGAGTATTATAAAACTGACCTTTAATTTAAAAGTTTGAGAAAACTATTGTTTTCTATAGTATTTGTAATTTAGGTTGTTTTGTGTCAAGATATGACAAGGTATCCTGATCCAAGTGGAGGCTGAAACATTATAGATTTTCTGATTTATATTGAAAATCCCCTAGGCAAAATCCCCTAAACTTCCATATTCCCAAAGTCTTGCATACGACCAGGTTAAAACTGATTTCATGATAATTGTGTGCACTTTTAAATGACCGCCTTCTTCAGGGAAAAACTTCACATATTTGAAGTTTGCTAGATGTGTGTAACAAGCACAGGTGGAGGTGCCTTCCCAAGATACTCACGGCACAGGTCTGAGGTTCTCCAGTTCAGGGGCTGTCCACCTGCATGAGCACACTGCCGGGAGTACTCAGCAAAGGTGTTGCACATGCAGAAGTCAGCCATAGAGCTGTCACAGTGGCACAGGTCTTGTATGCAAGTTTCAATGTAGTCCTGAACGTTCACAAGCATGTTACAACTCGTAAATGCTTTGCTGGTTAATACTGTCTCACAGATAGAAGCCTAGGGAGGAAAAGACAGAAGGTAAACAAAGTGTTAAGAAAACATGAAACTAAATTTAAGGCATGGAGCAGAACAAACCAAAGATTGACCGGTCCAGAAATCCATTCAACAGTAGCCATAAGCTGATATTTAAGGAAAAATATAACAATAGGGCAAAACCACATGGAATAACCACCTTTGAATAACTCTAGTAGCTTCCATATCCTTGGTTACCATAACCTCAGGTCACTTCCAAAGTATTATATAATTTCTTTATATTAAGACATTCTCAGAAAATTTCTCCTTCAGGAAAATATAGCATCTTCTTGTAGAAGGGGAATGCAAATTTTTGGCATTCACTTTAGCAAAGAATACAACATGAAATTTAGAATATTTTTCTTTTGAGACCTACAGCTGAGTCATATTCATGCCCTATTTTTTCCCTTTCTAAAAAGTTTTCTCCAAAGACAGAGGATGTATTCACACTGAGAAAACAAATTTTGAGTGGTTCTTACAAATTCTCTTGAGCAGTTCATCAGAGTAGTAGGAGGAATAGGATCATCACACTGCTCTGTGGGTCCATCCATCTTCTGCCTGTTACCAAACTGTATGGGCGTCAGTTTTGTCTCTGTAAAAAAACAGTTCAAATATTAGAATAATGCTTACTTAATTTTCTGAGTTTTCTTTTGTGACACTACCTGCCACAACATGAACAGTGATTACCAGATAATATCACTATAATATGAAAGGGAAAAGATGAACAGGATATATAAAGAACTGGATTGTAACTGTTGAAAACGAGTAAAAATTTCTGTGTGGAAGGTCTTAAAATATCTAACAGTGATGGAAGCAGTCTGATATATCTTAAAGTCCTGACTTTGCACAACTGACATCACAGGAATACACGAAGAAGTATCCCCAGTTTTCCAGTTAATACAACCCACAACCTATATTAAAGTATATTGTTAGAATTAAAAAAAAAAAACCCAAACCACCAGTAGTTAATAATGCTTTTTATTACTTACTCCCTGAAATAAATTCATTGCTGACTGGAATTCCATTGAAGTCCCCACAAAGTCCACAAGTTTGATTGGCATATTTCTTATCTAGTTCCACCTAAAAAAAATAAAAGAGGCATTTTATAGAAATGGCAGTCTTGATGGTTAGGAGCACAGCCTATCCCAGTATTGCTCATGTACTCAAAATTTGAGATATTCTTGTTGTGGAGACTGTGCTGTGTGAAAACAAGGTAGGCACCATTGGAATGGTCAGTGCTGACCAAGAAAAGCTCACTCTTATCCTAGCCCTGGGTTGTGAACATCAATACTTTGCCAGGTCTGGAATCTGAGGAGTACTTCACTGTGAGGTAGGAACATTATAATTCAGAATCTATTGATTTTGAGCTGAGTTTGGTGGGGGGGAAAATAAAGGGAAATTGAGAGAAGACTGGAAGACAGAACAATACACTAAAAATGGACACAAATCCAAAAGTAACTAATGCCTGCCTGGCTGTAATACTGCAAAGGTGTAAACAGACTATTTTCAAAGTACAGCCTTTCTTCTGTGCTTTGGATGTTTTCTTACCAGGAGGGCATCATGTCCATTCCAAAGGAAAGTCAGTCCCAACTTGGCAGAAACTTTCAAATAGTTATTACTTTTCTCTATCAAGACTCCCATATGGCTGTAGGGCATCTGGACCCTGGGAAAAGATCATCATAAGTCAAGGTAGGGACAGAAATAGGGTAGGGACAGAATATCCATTGAATGCCCACAAAGATATCCTTTCTCATTCTCTTTCAGAATTTTCAACATGTATCTGTAAAGAAATTAGAGCAATAACTACTGCAGGCAATACAGGTTTGTAATATTTTATCCATTTCCTATGCAATTGCCTCTCATCGTGCAAATGGATCAGCCTTGCTTTCCCCATTGTTCCTTTTGGCTCTCTCTGTTAAAGGTGTTTTGCTGGGTAAAATGTTAGCATATATCTCTGGTTGTATTGCTCACAAAAGTGCTGGGAGGCTCTGTTTTGCAGCCAGTGTACTTCAGGATATTGCTGAAGCACACCTTGAAGCATTTGATGCTAAAGGGATAGACTCCAGGCTTTCTGTGACATGAGTGCCAATCAGGAAGCTGTACCCAAGATAACCTTTAGACTAGTTCACTGTACATAGCTGCCATAATGGACAGCTCACTATGGGATAGCTGCCCAAATATTTACCTGGCCTTTTGGGTAGGTGTCACACCCTCTGTCAAAGTCAGTGCTACAATTGCTACATAGATAGAAAATTTCCAGAACAGATAACTTTAAATTATTTCAGGTACAAGCTGAAGAGCCATCACTGCTTTCCCACACACTGTTCAGCGCAAGAGCAAAAGCTGTCAAAAATTCCTCTCAGGGTTTCTGCTGTGGTAAAATTAATGGAAAGTACTAACTTCAAGGGTGTAAAGAAAGCAGCTTATAGATTTAGTAGCATTGTCCCTATTGTAACAGTGGGACAGCATATTGGATATAGCTCATCTGAACAAAACAGCCACAGGGATAATCTGCCAAAGTGGCACTTAGCTTGCTCTCAAGCCCTCTTTTTTTATTACTACTTCAGGAAGAACCTGAGCCCTCCCACTGCTAGGGAGCAATGTGAGATCAGATGAGGGAAAGGGATACTTGCTCAAAGAGCCCACTGGGAACAAGGTAGGAACATACAATTTGTCATCGAGCAGGACAGAGGTGGGGGTCAGTTCGATCACTATTCCTTCCAGCTTCATGATGACATGAGTGATCACAGTAGCATTTTCCACCATTGCACGCCTAATCTGGATGTTGAAGTCCTCGTAGGGAGACTTGCAGTTGGATGCAAAGATGTAGTTGCAGACCCCAGGGAAATAAAAGATGTCCCCATCAAAGGTCTTGAAGTGGAAGTTACCCCATGTGCTACACACACGGCCATTGTGAGAGGGGTTGCCAGCTGTGGATTCAAAATAAGCAGTAAGAATTTTCTGTAATACCCTCACTGTAGATGCTTTTTTTCCCTCCTGCTTCTTTCACCAGCCTCTGTCCAAAAAGCTCATCTTCTTACCTCTGTTTTGTCAAGATACTTGTTTTTCATTATTTATTTATTTAGTTCAGTTGCTTTTTGTGCTTAATCAGCTTTGCATAGGGATATAGGGCCTAGGATCAAAAGATCCAGTGCTCTAGTTCTGATGACTTCCCTATCCTATAAATCTTTTTCTAAATGCATGGAGTCCTGAAGTTTCACCATAAAACCATTTTAAAGCAAGTTTAAAACTTACTGATACTCTTACTTGGGAAAGCCATTCATACCCACAACCTCTAAGTGGCTGGAAGACTTTTGTCAACATCTTCCAAAACACATTCCCATCCCACATATGCCTGGTTGTTCTTGTGTCAAAATTACACATCACCTTGATCCCTGCTCCTCCCCTTGCCCATTATAGAAATCTTTCTTTTCAGTCTTCCTTTCCTTGCAAGCATGCTCCCCAATATCCCTGATGATCTTCCCAGTCCCCTTCCACATTTACACTCAGCCTGCTTGAATTGTACCTTATTTCCCTAGATAAGCTGTCTTGACAGTTTTCAGCACACTAATATTTTCCTCACTTTACTGGAAATATACATAATACTAGGGAAAAGCATGTGCAATATGTATGCATGTAAAAATATATGTATATTTTTTTACAGCATCATAAAAGAATGAAGCAAAGCACTGGATTCACAGTTAGATTACCTGATCAATTAACTTTCTGCTAATTTTTTATGATGATAAAGGACCTTACATAAATTTATTGATTTTTTCAGTTGCTCCATGCTCTTTGTCATTAACAAGAGCACAGATGTCTGAGCCATGACATTGGCTTAACTTACCCTTTACTTTCAGTGTGTTTTGAAAAGGTGGAATGATTGTCACTCCTTGGGAGTTGAAAGCTGGTAGAAAATAGAAAGGAGAAAAAAATGACCAAGTTTAATATTTTTTGAAATTCTAAAACATGGGTAGAGATTGTTTAGTCTTTTTAGTGATTAGTTTTTCCCACTACTAGTTGCGTGCTAGGGGAGAGTTTCCACAAGGTTTTATTGGTGGTTTATACATAATGCTTTGTGTTCTGTCTTTCTATAAATTTCACTAACAGCTAAATTACACAGATTGCAATACCTTATTCCATCATTTGTTCAGGACTCCTCTCTGATGCTGACCCTGATACTCTGAACTCAAAAGCAGAAATACGATCCTCAGAGCTCTGTATTGTAACAGTGATTACAACAGCCATATTTAAATAATCTGTGGCACACGTTTTGCAGGGCAGACTTAATGATCGATTACTTCAGCCTGTCATCACTAGTACACCAGTCAGCTTTGGATCCTTCCACACTTATTTTGCACTATCCAATTATGTGTCATGCATGATCTTGTAGTACATAATTATTCTAATGTTTAAGGTACTTACAGTTTTCTTATTTTCTTGTGAGTAATGCAGTCATCTTGACATAGTGTAAAAAAATGGGCCTTTTATTACCTACTATCAAGTACCTCGGTGATATGTATGTAAACACACACCTCTTCTGAAAATACACTTTTAGATATAAGTTATGTACCTTTAGTGAAGTTAAAGATTAGATAACTGTATCATATCAGTAGAGCAGATCCACTGGGCCAGATCTCAGAGAAAGTTCTCAAGCTTGGAGCAGTCAGAGACTGGCTGAGAACTGGAGATATAGCACAGAGGATTTCTCTTTTAATGTGTGTGGTATATTTTAGCTAGGAATCAAAATATTGTAGTAATCTTACTACTTATTACTCTTTTTTGGAACAAAACCTTAGAAAGAGATCAGCATAAAAATACCTACATTTTTGTCGCTGTAGAAGAGGTGGAGAAACATACTCTGACTTTGTTGGTTTTTCACCACTCTGGGCTTGAACTGCATCAGGAAGAGCAGTAAAGGAAATGTGTCTAATTTCTTTGAGTTTCCTCATTATATAGTCACATTTATATGAGTCTCATCATATAGTCTCATTATATAATCATTATATAGTCTCAATTAAACATGCAACACGCAGTATATCAAAAATCATCAATGATATGTTTATGTGCAGAAGGTCAAAGATGCATCAGGACCCATACAACAATGATGGCCAAACATCACTCCTTCAGTCTTTTCCTTTTTTGGTTACTAAATTACTGTAGAGAAGCCATCAAAAACATGCCAGTGGTGATTTGAGCAGATCATTATTCTGTTGTAGTATGCCCCTGGATTCCCTTATAAGCTTTTCAGATAAAGGACCTAAATTTCTTGGATTTTCTGTGCTTTATGCATCAGTAAAACCTTTTTCCTAGCTAGATGGCTTTAAAATAAGTCCCTTTTGTACAGGAAGAATTCACTTTAGGGTTAGAAGTCTGATCTTTGTCAAAGCCAAAATTACTCTGTATATTATAGTTTCAAGCACTCTTTGTAATAAGCCACAGAAGGAAAATAAATACAAAAGCCACACCACACAGAAGGAAATAGGTCTTTCCAACAGATACATTGGTGCCTGTTGATTTTGCCCCAAAGCAGAGAAACTTTTTGTTCCATTCCACTGCAGCATCAGAATAGGAATACATACAATATCCACAGGGGCCAGAGGGGCTTTCCATCCACTGTTTAGTGAGAGTTCATCAGGGGGCAGGTTGAGGTGAAGAGTGCTCTGGCCAGAGAAAGCTGCAAGGGCAGGTTCACCCCCTGCTGCACCTCACAGGGGCTGTCTGTGGCTAGGTCCACTAGAGGGGCTAAGGCTGAAAGCAGAGCTGCAGGGAGCCTGCAAGTCCCCTCCTGGGGAAAGAGCTGGGGGTCTGCAGCTGGCCTTAGAGGGCACGTGCCTGCTTTAAAGGCAGGAACCATTCAGTGCTCCTGGGCTCCTTCAGTGCCCAGCCTCAGACAGCTTTTAGCTTCTCTCTCCACGTGCTGTGTGGCTCTGCTCTGTCTCGTGCCACATGCAGATCCCTGCTGTCATTGCATGTTGTGCTAATGCTACAGCTAGTCCTGTCATGGGCTATCCTTTGACACTGACACTTCGGAACATAAGTTACTATGGGACTACCTAGGAGTAGGAAAAATATGAAAACATACAATAGGATCTGCACTCGAGATCAAAATACATTTAAAGCTAACACTGTTGTTACCTTAAAGGGAAATAATCAGGTGAAAAAAGAAAAAAAAATTAAAGAGATATCTATCCATCTGTGACTATTAAGTGCCCTCAGAATATTTATAGTGGTTCCATTTGTTTCCAGCCCATTGCAAACCAACTCTGTGTGCTAAGCTTTTATGTAACCTCATAAGCAAGACTAAATGATTTTTTAAAATCTCTTGCCTGATAATTTTCAAGTAAAATTCTCCCTTTTTTCAATACTCTATCATCAGCTGATAAACAGAGTCTTTAATAAGTCATGCAGACATACACCTCAACTGATTTATTCCTTTCTAGAGGTACCCTTGCACCTTTTGGTTTGTACATTTACAATTGCTATACCACCTTGAAATGGACATTAAAAGGTAAATGCCAATCTTGAAACATTTTTGTAGAAATGTGAGTTCTGAGGGAATTCCACTCAATGCAGTAGAGCAGCTCCAGATTTCAACTGGAGAAAAAAATTATGATAATTAAATATTTTGAAACTTTCTCTTCTTAGGAGGGAAAGTATTTTAAGCAGAAAATAAAATCCTGCATGAAGGCAACAGGTTCATTAACTTCACAAAGCCAAGAAGAAAAAAAAAAAAGCTTCAAACTCCAAAGCAAGTTATAAATTCTTTAAAACAGTAAAAATGCCAAGCAAGTGAATCGTCCTACCTTTGATCTGTATGAAGAGCAGGGTTAGTATTGATATCCATAGTAGTATTCGTGTCCCACCACCTTCACCCATCTTCTGGAAGTCCGGTAGAATCCACCGAACAACCTGCCTCTGAGGAAATACCTGTCTGTTCCCAAGTCTTATATAGTGAGAGAGCAGAATTTGGCTCAGTTCCCAGACTGTTTCACAAGGCTCTTAAAAGGTGGGGCTTCAGACATTTTCATTTTCCTTTACAGGTGCAGAGGTAAATAGAGGATGCTCTGACTTTCCCTGAGGTATTTACACTCTAGGAGGAGTATTCTTTCCACAAGTCTTTTTGATGAAATGTCAAGAAGTGAGCAAGAAGAATTTTTGTGTAGGCTTAGCCTTCCCAAATTTTTGTTTGTTGTGGAATAAACACAATTTCAGAGACTTCTGGGTGACTTTTGAGCAGGAAGTTTGACTGAATTACTTCACATGTTTTTTTTATTTTGCTCCCTTGGGCAAGTGATGATAATTAGCTTTGCAAAAAACCCCAAAGAAGGTCCACCTGATAATTTTTTTTTTTTTAGATTAGTTTGCACCTGCCTGTGTAGCTACTTTGCTTGTGAAAATGAAGAAATCAAATGCCATCTAAGGTCAGCAGTTATCCCACTGGTCAGGCACCACACAGGTGTATACAATGATAATCCTTTTGTGTTGGCAAGGCAGTAATATAGCCCTTTCCTTGAAGGACTCCTCACATGGTCAATTTTAGGGTTATTTCAGCTGTTTCCCTTCCGAGTAAACATGATTTCACCATTAAAATTCTACTGGATTCTACCTATGATTAAAAAAAAAATCCATGTGATTTCTAACCCTAGACACATTAAAGGACAGATAAGCAAGAATATTTTTTTGAATATTCCATATCTTAGAAGTAGTAAGAAAGTGAAGAATGGTTTTCGAGCATGTTAAAATAGTTATTTGCAGCTATATTAGTTTGGGAAATTAACCTTTTATAGTGTTTTACCGTTGGATGTAGAGAAACACAGTGTTCCACTAAGAGAGCAGATCCCATAATTCCACATGAGTTCAAACAGTTCCTACAAGGAAGAGGGTACTGGGATTCTCTCCATATTCTTTGGAATCATAACTATGTTTAAAATGGAATGAAGTTTAGCCATAAGGGAGGGACATTAGAGGAGCATTGAGAAAGTAGTGAAATACTCCTTTAGGTTGCCTAGGAATACTGTCCATATTCCACCACTAGGTTTGTAAACACCTACATGAGAATGGTCTAAGTGCTGTTGATAGTGCTCTGGGGCAAGGGAATAGACTAAATGTCCACTTGAAATTCTCTCAAATATGATTTTCTATTATATTTTATGAAAAATTATCATGGAATCATAGAATCACAGAATCACAGAATGCTTTGTGTTGGAAGGGACCTTAAAGACCATCCAGTTCCAACCCCCTGCCATGGACAGGGACATGTTCCACTGGACCAGGTTGTTCAGAGCCCTGTCAAACCTGGTCTTGGACACTTCCAGGGAACAGAGCATCCACAACTTATGTGGGCAACCTGTTCCAGTGTCTCACTCACTGCACAGAAAGGAATTTCTTTCTAATATCTAATAAAAATCTACTCTTTGTTAGATTTGAGGAAGTATAAAAGGCACAATTTTTACCTAAGCAGCAAACAAAATCAAGTAAATATGCTGGTAGTCCTGAACATTTTAAGAGGACAACTATTTAAATAAAGGTGACATAACAAAATTGAATTGAAAGTTTTGAGGCAAGGAATTGTTCTGTTTCAGTCATGAGTTATACCTTTGGCAACTTCATTGATGTGTAAGGCTGTAGAATATACCTTAACATTATTTAACAACAAGATGTCTACAAGATACTTGTATATACAGAAATACATGTAGTGAAAATTTAAGGAATTATCTTTGTCTCTAATGGTTATTATCAAAGTTCCGGGATGAAGATCTAGAAAAAATAAAAAAAAAGAATGGATTTAAATGGTACGTAATTAAAGTAATGATAAAATAGTATGGTAAACTCAGGTGGGTAACACACATAAGCTTATTAAGAGATTATGTTGGCGAGAAGAAAAATATACTTTATGAATCATTGTATTACTTACCACTAGAAATTGATTTATATCAACAGTTGGTATGCTGTGGTTTCATATACATTTCCTGCATGTTCAAGGAAGCACTGGGATCTCGGAGATGTCCCAGTCTGGTCATCATAAATTAGGCTGAAACTGGTTTACAGTATAGTTTAACCCCTTTAATTGAGCTTTAAGGCACCATCAGAATTGGTTCCCTATATCTGTATTTTTGACTTAAAATTTCAAATCTCATGTATGTCATGAATCAACTGTCTGTACAGTACTAAGTGGTTAATTCATTGACTAATTCTCTTGCCATATTAAATTTCTTATCTTGTCCTATTTCTTCTTGAAAATTTTTATAAAATGTGTTAAAATGTATGAGTCTTGCAAAAATAATCTCAAATATTTATGATGAATTGATTTAGTAGTATTATTAATTATTCAAAGAAATAATTCCTCTTCAACTTGTATTCCACCTCCATTCACTCAATAGACATACACAGGTGACATGGGAGAGTATATTTTAAAAAATGGTTGGGAGTAACATGTCTGATTTTTGTACCTCTTTATGATCAAATCCATACAGTTGACTGCAGGAATGGAAATTTAATATATCAGAAGAATTTATTGATGTACCTGATTTTAATTTTTTTATCAGAAAAGATAAAATATTTTGCCATTGCATTTGATCTGAAGCCCTGACATTTCTTTCAATAGTTTCTCTTCCTTTTTCACAGGATCATATTCTTATTCTCTGCATCTGCAATAGTAATTTGAATTAAATCTTACAGTAGAAGGGTTGTTAACATTTTCAGATCCATTCTTTTTAACACTATGTGATCAAATGCTACATAGTGGTGATGTTATTTACACATCTTACTCATGATTTCTGAATCTCCTTCTTCATAAAATAAAATGAGACCATCATATCTTATCTTCATAGATACCCACTGTAGAATGCAAATAAAATGTGATAGCACACTTGGTTAACTTTTGGGTGCAATAATGACTGAAGTCAGTATCTCCATTTATAGTTAAAAAAGAAATAATTATGAACTTATAGAGACATGCAAAAGGTTGTCAAGTCCACCTGATGTCGTACTGGAGTAGGGAGTATTCGTTTCAAGGTAGGGAGGAAAATGTGATTGACAGGAATTACAGCACTTCCTCTGTGTGAGTGCTAAAATGCAAGTTAACAAGGAGCTGTCTGCTGGACTTTTCTCTGGCGGGTCATTTGGCCACTTCTGAAGCCATGTTTAAGCTCCAGAGTGATGCTGGGACACTTGGCATTGAATTCAGCTGAAGTACCATTCTGATTGCCCCTGAATTTTGGCATGTACAAATTCAAATGCATGATTTCTATCTGAAGGCTTCAATGGAAAAGTGAAGTAACTGATTGTTTTCTGCTTAAAAGTTGTTCATTAATGTTATAGGTGTTCTCTTACTTATGTGAAGATGAACTACATTTCAAAAAGCTGCAATAAGTATTTCATAGTATGATACAATATAGACTATCTAAAGTAAAGCTATAGTTAAAGACCAAAATAGGGATACAACTCCTTTTATGTTCTTTACTAGATCTTAGTCAAACATAGAGCCATTGATCCATTCCTTTACTTCCAAATGCTTAAATAAAACTCATTAAGTGAAAATCAAATCACATCATAATGGAGATTTTAAGCCATTTCATTAACATGAGTAGTTCTCCTGTTTTCTAGTGTGTGCATTGTAGAGGAGCAATACTTAATTCTTTAACCTCCATTGCAATGTCTATGTTTTACTGTAAAACAAGTGACTTGATTAGGATCTGTTTCTGATCTGCTCATTTCAAAGTTTGAAGAGTCATTTAGAAGAACCCAAGCAAAGCATAACATTTTAAATCAGGCACTGGAGACTGACTAGCTGCAACATAAGAGGCTTAACACTGATATGACTAGGAAGTAAAAGATATTGAGTATAATATCTCTCATTTTATTTAACAGTTATCCTCCGGGAAGCAAATCTGTCAGAGAACAACTAAGAGTACTGTATTCAGACATTCCCCCTACGGAAAGTTAGTAAAGATCCTGTGCAGAGTTAGTAAAGAAAAAACAATGTGCACCCTGTACCAAGAGAAGTATGAACATGGGGGCCAGAGCTGGGTTTCCATGTTGTCCGAACACATCCAGGATATCTCTGTGTATAAAGGGGATAAACACTTAAGCCTCTTTACAGTTTGTAAACACAGACACCACAACCGTGCATGCCAATATTTGCAATTGGTATTATAGACTAAAAAACTGATGTACACACACATACTGGAAGGCATATTTACATTGTGCAGTGGTGCGTGCTGCAGAGATCCCTCTGCTAGCAGCCGCCAAGGTAAATTCATAGTAGGCAATAGTGTCACTGCATCAATATGAAGTTGCACCTCAGAGAATTTGCTTTTCTCTGAGGCACTGACGCTGCAGCATTGTACTTGGAATCAGAGCTCTACCCAGAGCTATGCAATGCCATAGGGCCACTGCAGCACTGTGCAGAACCAGCTGAAAGCTGGGGTCTGTTATACCGTGCCTTAGTGACCCAGATCAAAAATCAGTCTTTAGAAGCAACTGGTGTTTGCAGGCTCAGAGAAATAAATGGTACAGCTAGTCAAAAAGTGGGTGAAATGGAGGGCTATGCTGAGCAATATCTATAAACCCTCAAAGGAACTTGTTGGTGATGTACAAGCTCAAAAAAAATCTGTGTTAATATACTCTGGTGGACACAATTCTGCTGAATGACACTTTTTTCGCTTGTTTGTTGGTAATAATATAAACTACAGACTGTGTATAAGTGGAGATAGATAAGTATATGTACTATTACCTTAGCAAGTTTTGTCAGAAGTTCTATTATTAGCGGACCCTTGAGTATATTGTCTTATCTTAAATAAGTAGCAGACTTTCCTATTCCAAAAAAAAAAAATGCATGGAGGATATAATTAAATGCATACAAGCAAAGACAAACA